TTTCTTACCATTTTTATATCTGATTATGATTCTCCAATGCCTTTTACATAAAAAATGTACTTTTGTAAAAATCGCTATCTGTCACCGTTTCCTCCGAAAATGGCTAAATCCAATCAATAATAAATTATTGGTCTTAAACCAATTATTACGTTGAAATATGAAAATACCCCCCTGGTTTGTACGCCCCTGGTTAAAGGTGACAAAATCCGGAAGGCTCAAATTGATGAACCTACGAACTAGATTTCATGTCCCAAAATTGGTTGCGATAGCTGCAGTAGTACCGAAGCTATAAAACGAAAAGTAGTTTTTGAAGGTCATTTTCGAAGGGCCATAGCTCCCTGAAGAAGCGTTTCCGGACCCATGTTCACATGAACTTTTTTTCCTATTTTCGTGTGTTTTATCTACCCTAGAAGTTTGTAACATGATCACCGGAACACCCTGTATATCGCCTTCCTTACAAACATGGTGGTCTGAATTCAGAGTATACTTCTCTGGTCATTTTTCTTTGTGAATCGTTCCTTCGGTTCGGCTTGACTGGATGGTTTTCTCGGATTTTGTGTCAAATATCAAACACTGTGCTTCTCGGATCTGCAGCTAAACATCACATATCAAATATCGAATCATATGAATCAAAAATGATTATCATTATATGAGGTACATGTAAGTCGAATTAGAACATTACCTAAATATTTTTTTGCAACGTTCGTAGTTGGATTGCAACATCGAATCAAATCAAAAACCAAATCACGTTGATTCCAAAAATCAAATAAAATGTAGGGTGATCCATTGGGAAAAATTGTCGTGGTTGCCTTGACTCAAACGTGGATGACCCTGTATATGCAATTTTCCGTTTTGAATGTGGCAAATTGAAAATAAAAATCGACTTGTTTCAGGAGATTCCTCAGAAATGGATAGTTTGGCTTAAATAGTTTTTTTATGTACCAAGGACGAAAAACTGTCTATTATAGTCGAATCTGCAGTAATCAGGCGAGACAATAGACAGTTTTTCGCCGAGGTGAATATTACATTCTTTCGTCGACCTCAAACACTTAGTTTTCCGTGAATAATCGATTTGACAACAGCAAATGACAGTTGTTGTCAGCTCACTCTCCGCGTGGACCAGGGTTGCCAGTTTGATTTTTATTTCATCAGTAAATACCTTGTAAAATTCAGGTATATTTTATGCTATACGAATTCCAAGCAAGGATTATTAAATGAACCTATGATATGACGTCACAACAGTATGTACATTTAGTATACAGAAAAGAATCCTATTTCCAACAAAATAGAAACAAACTAAAGAAACATTCTCATAAAAAATATTCTCAATTTAAAAATACTAACAAATATCACAAAATACAATTACATAGGTACTTAAAATTAATATTTGAGTACCTATATAAAAAATAGGAACGTATAGTGAAAATGAAAAACAAGAATACAAAAAAAAAAGAAATAAATAAACGTAAGAAACAAACTGTTATAACAATGGTATATAAATAATTGAATTTGATCTGAATCAGAAGTATTGTCCTTTTCTGATTTATACATATTTATCATTAGTACCTATGTGTACATTTATTACTTAATTTGTCAAATTAATTTAAAAAGAGCCTGCCGAAATATCATCCAATTTATCAGTATATGTGATTACTAAAAATTAATAATAATATAGGTAATTATAATAATGAATAAGTGTCAAAATATTTATCAGTAGGTTATGAAATTTTCCCGTAGATCAGTAGATCAATATGCAAATCAGGAAATTTACTGAAAATTCAGTAGAACTGGCAACCCTGCAGCGGACAAATAGTGTTTGCGGACGAAAAGTACTTGCCTTCGGGAAAAGTCGGTTTTTCGTTCGGAAATTAGAACGTAAAATGTGATTTTTAGTAGAGGAGGACGGAAAAAGAATTTATTGAGTACTTTGGGAAAGCACTGTATACTCATTCCTCAGTAAACAATCCGTTGGGATTGACAATTACGAAGATAATCAATTCCTTCCGTGTATTTTTCAATGCCAATCACAAAATTCGACCGTACGTGATGACATCTAATATGGGGCTGTCTTGATTCACCACTGGTCCCGAATGAATGATTTAAAGGTTGAATCATGCTACTAACCGATTAATTTCCGAACAAACGATTCATCTATAACCGAGTCTATGACTAATGATGATAATGAAATTATACGGGAGAAAAATATATACAGGGTGTTTGGTTCACCGACGTATATCGATTTTTCCAATTTCAGGAATATAGCTAGAAAAAGAAAGGAGAAATGGGGTTATACCATGAATCTGTGTCAGTATATCACTCATAATAAAATAATGAAAATACCAGTGTGAAAACAGAATGAATTTGTATAAAATAGTCCACTCCTGATATTTCATTGTTTGAAATTTTTTATTTTCCACATCAGGAAACAATAAAACAACACACGATCACGATTATGTAATCACTGATTCGAATGAGAAACACAAAAATACGATACTATCACTCATTTTTTAGTGAACACTCTGTCTGGAATGATTATTAATTATTCCTTTCGCGTATTTTTCAATGCCTGTCACAAAATTCTACCGTACGTGATGACATCTAATATGAGACTGATTAACCACTGATCCCGAATGAATGACTAATGAGTTGAATCATGCTGCTAACCGATTAATTTCCGAACAAATGATTCATCTATAACCGAGTCTATGACTAATGATGATAATGAAATTATACGGGAGAAAAACATATACAGGGTGTTTGGTTCACCGACGTATATCTGGGTGGTATGTGATGTGATTCTGAGAATATTTGAACATATTTTCTGTTATACTGTGTGTTACATCTTTTACAAAAATCTCTCGTGATATGAAAGAATTCAACCGGACAGTATGTAGTGGAGAAATCGAACGCTTCTCACATACAAGTCGAGAAACAGTTCACAATGGTGACATACAGGCAAACAATTTTTTAAAATATATCATATTTGAGAATATACAGGGTGGGGCAGTGGAAACGAAACAGCGGATCTTTAGGTCGACAGACACGGATCATATGGTTATATCACACCTACAGCAGAACAATTACGAATAATTCAGGTCTGATACCATTAAGTAATGAACTATCTTCAATAGATTGGAGTTTTTTCAAGTTGAACTCAGACGTTGATTTCTTAGCCTCTTTTCTGATCATGACTTGATGGAAAGAATATTTCTTGTACAAAAGACAAATTTGAATAAGAAAAAACAAATGGTGCCGTGGTTCACATAATGAGCATACAAACTGTTTGTGATTCAACCAGAGAGCGAAAGGATATATAGATCTACAGTGTGACCCACTTCTAATGGAAACACCCTTGTATCCTACCTAATCGTTGAGTAAGGATCCTGAAATTTGTTGGAGCGAGAGATATACCAAAAATGCACTCTATGACCAAGTGGGGTCATCTTCAGTGCTATACACTGCTCGCCAACAGCCATGGAACCACCCCAATTTCCGGAAAATGATATTAGGAGTCAAAATAGGTCGGAAATCACTTCAGATTCGGGATCAGGACGCCCAATTCACTAACTTTTCATATTTTTCCTGAAAGCCTATCAAGCATCGACATGTCATTGCATTCGGGCCACAGCCAACTTCATGTATTTCAATAGAATGCAATTTAACAGCCAGTTAATGAACGAATATCAATTTGTGATACATAGTTGAATAGAGAATTTCGAGGCAAATAAGAGAGGCTACACGAAGATACAGGGTGCCATTCGAAAAAAAAAAGTTGAGTCTACTTCCGGTCAAACAGGTGGTTGAAGAAAATTGCCATTGGGTTCAAGGGAAGCGCCATGATCGATAATATAACCAATGTGAATTTCAAGTTTGTATCCCTTCAAATAAAAAAACTACAGGCTGTTACATGTCTCCTGGGTCACCCGGTATATCCTGATATCTTCAAAGTCAGCAAGGTCACACCTATTCACAAAACTGGTCGAAAAAATATCAATTACAGGCCAATCTCAGCAATCCCTGCACTATCTGAGTTTATCAAGATCATACTGAAAAAACGTATCATAGACTTCATGAAAGAGCATGTCCATTTTGACGAATACCAATATGGGTTTCAACAGAATAGCAATACGTTCAGTGCAACTATGTATTTTGTTAACTATATCGCAGCGTCGCTGGATGACAAATATTTCGTTCTCGTAGTATTTGTTGACCTACGAAAAGCATTTGATATCTAAAATAATTGCTCTACAGAGTGCACCTTAAGCTAGCAAAGTCACAGGTTTCTTTCAAAAATCGTGCAGCAAAAAATTCCAAGATGGAATAATTGGTAATTGATTCAAAAATCATCAAGAAATATGCTTTTGATAGAAATACGTCAGCATCGCAAATTTCGACAAAACGTTTCGTTAATTATTGAGCCTCCAATCAGCCTTGAAATCGTAATATCTTGAATCATAGAAATATATATATGTTTGAAAAGTGGCTCTGTTTAATTCCCAGGAAGCGACAGATTTTTCAATGAAGGAGATGAATAAGAAATATGGGAATAGGGTTATTAATAAATAAGCCTTGAATAAGCCCTACAATTTCAATTTTTCGAATTATGAAATATTATTTATGTTCAAAGATTGTTTTGATAGTTCGGCCGAAGTTATCAAAGCCATACATTTTTCTATCATAGATGATGGAAAATTTGGGAATGTGGTATATGAAATGAGCCCAAGATTATATGATGATTTTTTTATGTAAGTCCTGTGTGGCTTTGCTACTTTCTTTAATATAATATTTTGTGCTGGTTGTGGTGTTACTACAAGTGATAAAAGAGTCAAACCTACTCCATAAATAATTCAATATCTTTATTCTGGAGGACTCTTAATGGTTATATGTTCTTGGAATTCAGTTAAATTGACTGAAAATACTGGGGATTTCTTGCGATAACAAAGTTCAGTGCACTAGATACCGACCAGCGCGGTTTACTTTTGATTTTTTTTTTCATTCAGACGATGACAGTGATCAACCCCCTGAAGGGGAAGAAGAAAAAGAACCAGTCACATACTATGTCAGCAATGAAGTACACTATTCAACTTCCAAAATGTCCAGTTTGGTATGCATCAAAAGGGGCCCAGTTATCGAGGCAGATAAAAGCATTCGAGCTCAAGTGCGGCTGATGAATTTCAGTGATGGATCTCCATATGAGATTTTGCATGACTATGTCAGCAGGACAGTAGCACCATTCTTTAAATCATATGTCAAGGAGTCTGGTAGAGCAGACCGGTAAGTACATTGAGCATTAATATGTATTCAGTCCATGTCCACCATTCTCAAACAATAGGATCAAATTGGTTTGGGGGTTTGTTGTCATTTCTGTCCGTTTGACATAAGTATTTTGACAATTCACTGAACAACAAATTTGAACTAAAGTAAAATCAACTTATGATCAATTCAAATTCATGCACAATTCAACTTTGTCCGATCTTGAGAATTAGAGAAGGTGATAGGTAAATTCAAAATAAATAAGTAAGATAAACCAATACTGATAAACCTAGAATCTCAAGACCAAGAGATTCTAGGGAAATTTCGTGAATCGATTGTCAGCTGATGCAAGACAGACTGTTTCGACTTGCCATAAGTCTCATCAGTTGCACTGGCCAGCTGACAATCGATTCGCGAAGGGTACCTCCATATATCAAGAAGGACGATCTAGCCTTCATAGCCATCTAGTGGCTTAAGTGCAAGATGTATAGGTAGATTCATCAATCATACCTTGCGATGAATCTACCTATACACCTTGCACTTAAGCCACTAGATGGCTATGAAGGCTAGATCGTCCTTCTGCCCCCTCAGGGCTTCGACTTAACCAATACTGCTTATTTACATTAGCTGCATTGAAATTACTCTTGATCTACTTCAAATACATTAACAAAGAAAAACAAGAACGTATCTGCCTATTTATGAATAAAGTTAATATATATAAAAATAAGAAAGTACATGTGTGTGGATTCAATCTAAAATGTGCAATATAAATGTGAATATAATGGTAACATAACATGATGACATCAGTTTTTTGATAAAAAGTAAAAAAAAATACAATTCAACTGAAATATAGTAGTAATATAACATGATGACATCAATTTTTTGATAAAATATGCTATAATACTTAAAAAAATACAATTTGAGTTCTAGGGTATTTAGTATAGCCTACAATTTCATGGAACGTTTGAACATAGCGTTCACAGCAAACTTGTTTATCCAGTGCTGACGTCATAATGCCTTTTCTTGTAATGCCACCTGTTTTATTTTAAAAACAGCAATTTAGAATTATTAATGAAACATACTATGTCTTACTACTTAGATCTGGTGACATTTGTGGATATTTGTCAATGATAAGTTTCTTGACTCATTTCCTTCACGCCTACATACCCGAAAATAAGAATAAGAAGAAAGCGTCATTATGGTCTAACCTCAAACCTTCAACAAAAATGTAAACAAAATATATCTCAGGATGGTGTAAATCAGGTTTACAACCACTGTTGCCAGACTTGAGTTATCTATCAATTGCTTGGAGAAGTTAAAATATCTCTTCAACCTTTCAATAGAAATTTGATCAGGTTTTCGGTATATGATTTTAAAATGTAATCCATATTCCACCCATACTATTGGTTGAATACATCATTTCAGGTACCGTTGTTAGATGCGAAATGTCCCTCCTTATTAGATCTATCAATAAATCTTGTAATGCTGTACTGGTGTAAAACTGTTCGAATTTTTAGTTGTGCGTACATGGCTTTTCCAGGTAGACGTCATGAAAATGGTGGAGGAGTCGAAACTATATCTTCATGATTTTTTTCTGAACTCACGACAAAAATGAAAAAATATGTGTACAATGAATTCTCATAAACTATACAGGGGAATGAATATTTGAATGAAATTTACTCATTCTAAAGATATCACTCCTATGTCATAATATGTCACATAGTGTAGTGAATTATCATGCCAAATGTCACAATCCAATTAATAAGAAAACAGGAACAAGTGAGCATTAAACTGTCTTGTTCAGTTCATCCATGGTTTGTTGAAATCTGTTGAATCTTGAGAACGGTATATATGTATTTATAATAGAATATTGAAAATAGGCTGTGTCATGACTGTCAAGTCTCTGGTTAGACCAGGCACATACGTTCACTATGAAATCTGACCATTAGTCTGACTAACCAGCTGTTTGGAAATATTGGTCAAGTTTCAAACTTGCCGACGAACTTGACACAGCCTTCTACCGTCTATTCATGTGGGATATACAATTCACGTGAAAGAATCATACGGCAAAATGAAGTTTCTTTTGACAAGCATGACAATCACCAATGGTAAATCTGTGGTAACTTGAAGGTTGTTAGACTCCAATAAGATTTTGTGGCCAGCACTGCATATCAAATAGTTCCTGATGAAAAACTTTGTTGAGGCACTGAATAAAGACTAGCTTTTCAGTACCTGCGTCAGAAATTCCCAAGATTAGTGATGCAAAAATTGAAGAATATATTTTTGTTGGGCTACTCATTCAAAATATTCCGGAAGACCAACATTTTGACAGCACAACAGATATTCGTGATAGAAACTAACACGTCGCCCCACCTGACGGCAGCAATTTGAATACTTCTGAGCAGTTTGTTTTGATGATATGACCAATAAGCACAAACAAAAAATGAATGTGTATCAATGAAAACAAAGTAAACATGCCGCTTTGACAGCTTTCAAAAACTCCGATAGGTGGCGGACACTTATTTTTATCGCGAATTAAAAAAATCTTGGGATGATTTTCGCCTCGTGGTAGCTAATTTCTTGGAAAATGGAAGAGCTGACAGGTATGTTATTGTTGTTGGAAATATGCTGTCACCAAATCAGAAACATTGGTTGCAATAATATGTCTAAAGATCCATTTCCTACTCTCACACCTGGACTTTTCTCCTGTCAATTGCGGAGCTGTGAGTGATGAGAACGGCGGACGCTACCATCAGGATATATCAACAAATGGAGAAAAGGTGCCAGGAAAACTGTAATGCTTCCATACTAGCTGACTACCGTTGGACTCAAGTGTTTGAAATACTCCATAAAATAATTGCAAGAAGACAGCGCATTTAGTGACTGAAAGTGTAACTTATTTTTTGTCTTTTTTTGTATTGAATGCCCCGAAACAAAAAATGGCTTTTCATAAAATATAAATTTAATAAAGCAAAATTTGTTGTTCGGTGATTATTGTCAAAGTGTTGAAAAAACTGACTTGCTCTGTCTATTTTAGTGATGGTGATAAAATGGCACCAGCTGTAGAGAAAACTATTGCTGAACTTGAAATGGGTTTATTACATTTACAACAGAACATTGATATTCCCGAAATCACACTACAGATGCATCCTTATATATCGAGTCTTATCAAGCAATGTGCTGATGAGGGAAAGAAGCCTAAAGTGGCAGATTTCAGTGACAAAGTAGAAGACTCAAACTTCCTGAACCAGCTACAACATGGTGTCAATAGATGGATCAAAGAAATACAAAAGGTAATGAATGCTCACTGAAAAATAAAAGGTTTTCAGGAATTTCAAGAAGTTTTTCTAAAACAAAACAATAACAGAATTATGATTTGCTGTACTAACAAATATGAAAAATGGATAACATTGTGCTATTTTGATTTTCTCTGGATAATTCAATGATAACAGTACTGAAATCACCTGGCAGTAAATTAAGATTTAACAGCCCTCTACTGATTGATTTTCGACTGAAAAACGTTGTCTTTGACAAAATTTCACTTTGGATGACAGACTGATGATGTAATGAGAGTGAACCATCTTCACCTTAATTCAGTATTTTTTCATGAAATAGGTCTTTGATATTCTATAAAGTTTAGTTATCCATAATCAAAAGTCAATAGAACAAATAAAAACTGCCTCTTGGGAACACAAGGATATTCATATTATGGTAATCATCTTCCTCTCTTGTTAAAACAGGATGTCCCTAAACGATCACGTAAAATTGAGGCAGAATGTTGATCAAAGGGTACCTACCTACTATGGTAACATGGTAAGACTCATTCACCAATTTGAATTATTTTCTATTATATAAAAACTATTTTTGTCTCACTAATTTTATCTATGCTGTTGGTATAATTTCACATTTTTTTCAAATTCACTTGAGAATATTGCTGTTGCTGAATGATTTTTCATTTTTCTATTATATAGAAAAAAAACAACAATTGCAAAATAGCTTTATAAAGAAGACTATCTCGAAAATGGTGAGAGTTCAATGAGGATTTTTATAATGGGGATTTATTCATATACCGTAGGGTACCTTCTAATATATATTCTCCTTCAGTTTAACCTGGTCTTTACAGGACAACCTGTATAAAAAAAATGGTCCGAAAAATTTAGACAATTGATTTCAGGTCACAAAATTGGACAGAGATCCTTCTTCTGGAACCGCCCTCCAGGAAATCAGTTTCTGGCTGAATTTGGAAAGAGCTTTGCATCGCATTCAAGAAAAACGTGAAAGTATGGAGGTAGCTCTAACTCTGGACATTCTCAAACATGGAAAAAGATTCCATGCTACTGTGTCATTTGATACAGACACTGGTCTCAAACAAGCCATTGCCACAGTGAACGATTACAATCCGCTCATGAAAGATTTTCCCATTAATGACTTATTATCTGCTACCGAACTAGAACGAATTCGAGCTGCTGTCCAACTTATATTCGCCCATTTGCGTAAAATTAGGTCTACCAAGTATCCCATCCAAAGATGTCTCAGACTTGTGGAAGCTATTTCCAGGGATCTGGGTGGTCAGTTACTGAAAGTTTTGGGCACCAGAAGATTAATGCATATACCTTTCGATGATTTTGAAAAAGTTATGACCCAGTGTTTCGAAGTTTTTTCTATTTGGGAAGACGAATATGAGAAGCTCCAAGCTCTCTTGAGGTATGTTCGTATTATTGCTCTATTATGGAAACCATCCATCCTCCTCAAAGTATTCCAATTTTTTTTCAAAGTAAAAGCAGAATAACACCAAGTCTGTAGACCATAAAAGTTATACAGGGTGAGGCATTTTGGCGTCGGAGCTCGATTGCTTGAGTTCTATGATAGCTAGAAACTTGATTCAAAAACGATTGTCTATGAGACAACAAGGTCCGTTACTAAAAATTATTGCCGCATATACAGGGGGCGTCGGATCAGGATCACTTATTTTAAATGGAATGGCCTATATATTAGCACATTTTGTGAAGCATTCCTGTGACCTCCATGCACTCCTATAATACTGTTGACCGTTTCTCGATCATTTCAAAGTTATTAATTTTCTTCTCGAAATAATATCTGCAGATCCATACCGGTAAAATAACTGTAATCACAATTATGAAGTTTAAGAGATAGTAATCATTATATCATTTAATGTAAAGATGCGTGATTTTTATGACGAATTTTCATGCCCTCAAATTATACAGGTTGGCTAAAAATGTTTTTCCAATTCGGAACTTTTGGAAGTGATTTTTCTCGAGTTTTTCAAATGGAACACCCCATATATTTTTAGGCCATTTGGTGTAAAATCAAAACACGAACATCTTTTATCTCAACATCCATATTGATATTCGTAACCATATTTGAATTATTGAACTTTGAAAATTCCAGGTTGGCCATTTTCATAATACATTAATTAATAATTGAAACATCGAAATTCCAATCAGTGAACCAGTTCTTTCATTGAAAGAATTCAAACCGGAATCACAGCAAACATCAGAAATAGTTCATATGCTAGTAATTCACAGAGTAACAAAAAAAAAAACATTTTCTAAATATCCCATAAATTCATAGTACATTAAAAACAAAACCAGGATAGTAATTTACAATTATGCAAAATGGTAATTTTGTTCTTTCTCACTTTGTTAATAACTAGCATATGAACTATTTCTATTTGCTTTGATTCTGGTATCGATTCTTTCAATGAAAAAACAAGTCTACTAAATTATCAATTGAACTTTTTGATGTTTTAACAACAGATGACAATGTGTATCGATGAAAATAGTCAACATGGAATTTTCAAAGTTCAATAATTCAAAAACGGTTACGAATATCAATATGGATGTTGAGATAAAATATGTTAGTGTTTTGATTTAACACCAAATGGCCTAAAAAATACGGAAAAAGCATTTTAGCCACCCTGTATAATTTGAGTGCATCTTTCCATCAAATGATCAACAATATTATAGGGGTCGATGGAGGTCACCGGAATGCTTAAAAATGTGCTAATATATAGGGCATTGCATTTAAAAAAAGTGATCCTGACCCTCTAGATTTTTTCCGATGCCCCCATTATATGCGGCAATAATTTCTAGTTACGGACCTTGTTGTCTCATTGACATTAGTTTTTGAATCAAGTTTCTAGCTATCATAGAACTCGAGCAATAGAGCTCCGACGCACTAATGCTCCACCATGTATTATACAAAATGTATTTTGACTAGTTTCGGCTCAAACAGCCGTAATTTACGGGGGAATAATAATTTGTTGAGGAAAACACATACCTATAGGGCTATGTGGAAATCACATTATAAGAATGAAAAATAAAAAGAGCCCTGGAGTCATTTGACCAAAAAATCAGTCCGGTAAACGACATCTTTTTTCTTCAACAACTTATTGTTCCTCTGTAAATTAAATATCTTTACAGGTACTGTGTACTGATGTGTCTGTTTGAGCCAAAACTAGCCACACTATATTTTGTGTAATATAATTTTTGTGGTCGATCAACTTGGTGTTATTCTGTTTATCCTTTGATATTATTCCTCTGTTAGCATAAGCATTAAATCTTCTCAATTTTTAGGGATATTATGAAAAAGAAACGAGATGAGCACATGAAGATGGTCTGGAGAATTTCTCCCCAACATAAAAAACTGCAAAGCAGAATGGACCAGATGCGCAAGTTTCGTAGACAACATGAACAACTCAGAACAGTTATTGTTCGTGTATTGAGACCTTCCATTAGAGAAGCAGCAGTTCCTATCGAAGGAGAAGATAATGAACCTCCAAAAGCTACTTTTTCACTTGATGCAGCTGATGCCAATGCTATTGAGGTTTGTTTCATAAGATTTACATTTCTAGTATCGTGTATTATGACGTATATGGGTTTGCACAATGAAGCTCAGTACAGAGAACAAGACCAATGTATAAGTAATCTATATTCTTCTTAAATTCGACAATCTAAAATAGAGATAGTCTTAATATGATGATAATATAATAATAATATAAGTTTATTCAAAAACGTTTACAAAATATACATTGGAATAAACATAAAGGTAATTTGAATAAACTGGGAAAAACCTTACGAAGTTGATTGATTGATTGAAAACCTTGTAGTAAGGATAAAAAATAAATAAATGTACATATGTCAATAAATATTTAACAATATCAAGTTATCACAATTGAAAATTGTCTCATTAAGAAATGAGACAAGTATTCAATTCATAATATATAGTGTACGGAGCATTTCATTCAATAAGCATAATTATTTATATTCATACATACTTATTCACAATTATTATTAAAATTTATCTAATGATATTATTAAATGTTAATTAAAGAAATAAAATAATTTTTAGGGGAGTTTAATATCCAGTTTTTTATTTTTATTGTATAGAATTGTAGTGATTTTGATATCTACAATAACATGGAATAAGTAACTTACCTAACACCAGGATTGCGTTATGCAGATAGTATCATAAGAATCTGTATATCAATCACACCCCTAGACCTAGATTGAAAGTTAGACATGTTTTCCCGTAGTTTTCATGTCATTTTTTGATGTTGCATTATTCTGGATTCTATCGCGAATGGAAATTGAAATAGATTGAAAGAATGTATTCATACATACTTACATGACTCACAAAAAGAAAGTTTATATTATCATTTCTCAAATACTTTTTATGTAGAATGCATACTACAGATTTCTAATTATGAATTAGTATCATCTCAGCCTCAAAATGTCACTGCCGGAACGAATCACTTCCCAAATCGTCAAAAAAGAAGAGACATTTTATATTTTTCTATATACCTATGTTCTTCCTCAAATATACAGGGTCCTGCATCTCACCTCCCGTCTACTATAGCTCAGATACATATCAAATAAGGCCTAAGAGGATCGCCAACCGAATTTGATTGACACGAATCATCACAGGGTGTGCAAAATTTAGTGGCAAACTTTTCAGATTTCAAAGCATTATGTTTTCATTATTTCCAATCAGAGCCCCTGTATATTTTCATGTTATTCAATGCGTGAATAGAAAACAAACTTTTTTTTTATTACAACCTCATCGAAATTCTCATCGTATCAAAAGTTATTTGCCGAAAACTCGTTTCATCAACTATTCTAGTCATTTGAATAAGTAAAAGACGAAGGTGGCTTTGAGGAGTAAATTATTCACATTTAACTCTGATGAAGTGTCACAAGTCTATTTGGGCTTGAGTAGTTCAAATTCAATACATTGTTAGCGCATTATTATAAATTTTTTGAGCTGTTTATTACAAAATATTGTTTTTTTGTCATGGAGTACAACCAAGAAGAGCTCGAAGATATGATTTTAATATTAGGAGAATGTAAGAAAAACTCTTTTTTTTTTTGGCAAGTCGAGTTTATGCACCTATATCATTTATGTTAAAACTTTTAATCTAATAAACTATATTATCAACATATGTATAAATGTAAGTAATAGGGATTCCGGATTCCTCCTATTTCCCTGTTGTATTATTTACGTAATTGACATATCACAAGCAATCACGTGCATTTTCATCAATATATGTTGAAACAGACAAAGATCGAGAGTACCCCTATAATATCTTACAGGAAGTAAACTTGGCATACGAGAATGTCAAAGAAGTTGACTGTTTAGACATCTCCAAAGAAGGTCAAGATGCGTGGGATGCTGCTGTACAGAGATACGAAGAACGCATAGACAGAGTCGAAACAAGAATAACTGCTCACCTTCGAGATCAACTGGGTACCGCCAAAAATGCCAACGAGATGTTCAGAATCTTCTCGCGCTTCAACGCCCTGTTCGTCAGACCTCATATCAGGGGCGCTATCAGAGAATATCAGACTCATTTGATTCAGCGAGTCAAGGATGATATTGAGGCTCTGCACGAGAAATTCAAGGTGCAGTATCCACAAAGTAATAGTGCGAAAATCAGCAAGGTCCGAGATCTGCCGCCTGTTGCCGGTTCTATTGTGTGGGCTAAGCAAATAGACCATCAGCTGACTACTTATTTGAGACGTGTTGAAGATGTCCTAGGTACGTCTTATATCAGCATTCAATAATTTTAGCATTTTTAGCGCAGACCAATTTCTACTTTGACAAATTTTACGAGGACAAAGATCTTTCGTTTGTGCAAAATCAGACTGGGAATTCACTTCCAGTTCAAACGTCACCCTACATTTATTTATTTCATTCTTTGCTATAAACATTACATTGAATAACCAGACAGATTCATATATGGTATGAGATTATTCATGCGTTATTAAATTGAATTATAGTTATTGAAATAAACAACAAATTCAAAAATAATAATAAACCAAAAAGCTCATGAAAAGTACATGATGAGATAAATCAGTGAATGAGAAATCATTCACTCAGGTTTGATTTTCTCTTTGCAAGAGGATATGTTTCTTGACTTTGATTAATTGAAGATGATGGATAAAATGTCACTTGAAATTGGCAGTAGGCTAGGAAATTTTGTGGTTCCTTGCCCACATAATTTATGGTGTCTGTGCACATGTGCTCGTTGTGAAAAGTTCAAGTGCAAACAATGCGAATAAATGAAGTAATTCATAAGGCCGGTTTTGGGGTTTTGATATCTGTGAAAACTACGTTATCTGTTTTCACTGCCCTGATATCGATCAGTTGTGAAGGTTCAAATAAAGCTCAGTTGAAACAGAATTATATTAATAACTTGACATTACATCGCTAAATTATGTGTCATTCTTTTTAGTACTCCTGTCTAGGATACTGGGTGATTTTCAACATTCTCCCCCGCCGGAAATTCAACTTCTAATGGGTAAATAAGTTGTATCGGTCTTCTCAGGTAGACACCGTCTGCAGTCTTCAACTCACAAGCGCGAATGCGACCATCTTTACCAGGAAAAACGTCAACGATCCTCACAAGCTTCCAAAGTAGTCTAGGTACATTTTGATCGTGTATTAAAACTACATCTCCGATTTTCACATTCTTCGACTTCATTCTTTGGCTGTGATGAAAAGATCGCAACTGTTGAAGATAATCAGTTTTCCAACGAGTCCATAATTTATTAATCCATTGCTCTCTCGATTTCCATAACTTCAAGATATCGCTTCTCTTGATACCCTCATTGGTGATATCAAAACTGAATCCCAATATACTGCTATCAATCAAGAAACGTGATGGAGTCAGAATTATCATATTATCAGGATCATCATCTAAATATGTTAATGGCCTGGAATTCACAATTGATTCCACTTCTACTAAAACTGTAGATAGTTCGTCAAAATTCAGGGAAGCTTTTCCAATAACAAATTTCAACGCATTTTTTATAGTTCTGATGAGTCTTTCCCACCAGCCACCCCACCAGGAGGCTCGTTCAACGATAAAATGCCAATCTATCCTCATATTCCTAGCAAAATTCTAAAGTTCTTGACTTGGTAAGATCCTGCAAAGTTCTTGTAATTCTAAACAGACTCTTTTGAATGTTTTTGCATTGTCTGAATATATGGTGTTTGGAACGCCTCTTCTTCCGATGAATCTTCTCAGGCCTCTTATGCAACTCTCCGTCGTGAGATTTGGTACAAGCTCTAAATGAACTGCACGTATAACTGCACAAGTGAAAAGCAAAAGATATACTTTCGTCTTCTTCCGTTTGATGTAAAATGGTCCAGCAAAATCCACCCCCGTAATTTTAAAGGGATGAGCAGCAGTTATTCTGTTTTTTGGTAAAGGTGCGAAAGGTTCGTTACAAGGTTTGCCTTTCAATTTTCTACATGAAACACATTTCCCAATGATTGATTTAATTCGCTGTCTACCTTGAACTATCCAATATCTATTCCTTGTATGTACTAAAGTTGCATTTATTCCACCATGAGCAGTGCACATATGAGAATTCCATATAATCTTCTCAGTGAGTAACGACTTCTTCGGAAGAATAATAGGATGTTTAATCTCAAAGGTTAAATTTGCTTCTTGTAGTCTCCCTCCTAATCTAAGTAAAGAATCCGAGTCTAAAAAGGGGTTCAACGTCAAAATACTCGATTTCGAATCCAATGATTTCCCTCTACATAATGCTCTAATTTCTGCTTCAAATTCAATTTTTTGTGTTATCCGGATCCAATATTTTTCAGACTCATTTATTTCGGGAACAGTTAAAACTCCGGTCAGTTTATCTCCAGGATGTTTTACATTATGAGTGAATCTTATAATATATGCTGTGATATTAAGGATTTTCTCTAAATTACTGAATCGTTCTAATGGAAATATAGGTATGATTTCAGGAACATTTTCTTCTACATTCATCAGAAAAACTGATACTTTTTCTGGACAAATCTGAATATCATCATCTGGCCAGGACGCTGTATCTTCATTCAACCATGGTGGTCCATGCATCCACAATTCTGATTGAAGTAGTTCATCTGCTTTGATTCCTCTTGTTATTAAATCTGCTGGATTTTCTGGTCCAGGGCAATATCGCCAACTACCTTTTGTTATATTTAGTATTTCCGTTACTCGATTCGAAACATACGGCTGCCACTTTTTACGACTATTGCCTTTTATCCAGTGTAATGCAATTCTTGAATCGGACCATAAAAATGTATTACTCATTACTATGTCTAAGTTTTGGATTATGTAATTCTGCAATCTGCTTGCACATAATGCAGCAGTCAATTCTAATTTAGGTATCGTTAGTGATTTATTTCCATGTTCATTTATAGGAGCTACTCTATTTTTTGCAATCAAAATTTCACAAATTCTTCCATTGGTCAATGAATTTGTAAGTATATAGGCTACAGCTCCATAAGCAAGTGGGCTAGCGTCTGCGAAAATGTGTAGATCATATGTATTTTGTGAATATCTGCTGACACTTCGAGGAATCACAAGATCGGTTAAAATGGGAATTTCAGAACACCATTGTAGCAATATGTTCAGAATCCCTTCAGGTAAAGCTTCATCCCATTTCAGTTTCAATTTCCAAATTTCTTGCATTAATATTTTGGCTCTTATTACAAAAGGTCCCAGTATACCTAATGGGTCGAATATCCTAGCTACAGTTTGAAGAGCTATGCGTTTCGTTATATTATGTCGGTTTCCTTGCTCTTCCATAACAGTACTGAGATCGACTCCTAGCTCATCAGTATGAATATACCATATTAAACCAAGGACCTTCTTTTTTGTAACTTCTGTATCTACATCATTACCAAAAATATTCTTCAAAGGAATGCTATTAGTACACCACTTCCGAAGATTCATATTAGCAGAAAATAAAATTGATTTCGAGTTAGAATATATTTCTTTAGCTTCATCTATCGAATTCAGAGAAATAATCAGGTCATCTACATAAAAAGATTTCTTGAGTATATTACACGTATGATTCATTTCCTCGGGCTGTTCTGATAGATGTTTCTTAAGTGTAGCAGCTAATAGAAAAGGACTACTTGTTACACCAAAAGTTACACGTTTCATCCTGTATTTCCTGAGTGGTGGTAAATTCGTTATTGACGTTATTGGGTTTTCATACCATAAAAAACTGTGATAATTCCGTACACTTTCATCCAAGCTGATCTGTAGAAAAGCCTTTTCAATGTCAGCTATCATTCCGATAAATCCAATCCGAAAATTAAGAATTATCCGTAATAAGTGAGGAACTAAATTTTCACCAGGCGATAATAAATCATTGAATGACGGAAATCCAGGTGCGTGTGCAGAACAGTCGAACACTACACGTATTTTCGTTGTTGCCTTGTCATCTCGATAAACTGGTTTGTGAGGCATGTAATAAGTATTCACTTCATCTGCTAATTCTGGTGCTATCTCAGCACAATCATTCTTGAAATATTCACGCACAGCATTATCATATTCAATGAGCTTTGAATTTTTTATCAATCGAGACGTTAAATTTTTTACACGAGCTAAAGCACCTTTATAATTTGAATCAAGTCTTGGATCTTCAATTTTCCACGGTAGAGTTACTTCATATCGCCCGTTTTTGAAACATATTTCATTGTTTATGAAGTCTACTGTAGAATTACTACATGAATCATCTTTAGTAATACCTAACATTTCCAGACTCCAAAAATTTTTCAAATCTCCATCGTCATTTGCGTTCTCAATTGTTTGCAGAGCAAGAGTAGACACCAAATTTGTATTTACTCCGAAACAATAAAAATCGCTTGATCCGTGTAAAGTCCAACCAAACTTTGTATCTAGTGCTGTCAAATTTTCAGATAGTCTTTTTTGTTCACCAGTTACTATCTTCCAGTAATTATCAGCACCGATTAATAGATTGATACCATTTTCCTCGAGCCCACCATTAGCACTAGTATCTGCTAAATGGAAATTCATAGAAAACTCTTTTATTAATGGGTCTTTAACTGATGGAGGATTGAGAGAATCAAAACATATTTCTGGAACTTCAATAGCGTTAATTTGAATCATTTCATTATTGAACTGCCCAATCAATTTCAATGAAACTCTATTACAGAGTCTAGCAGGCGATTGGCTGCTACTACCAAATGGAATGACAGAAATATTATGGGTTCCAATGACTGGTAATCCTATTCGTCTAGAAATACATTCTTTTATAAAAGTTAATTGGCTGCCTCCATCGAGTACCATGCGAATCAATGTTTTCTCTGATGAATTTCCTGATTTAATGAAAACACAAGCAGTTTGTAAATAAACATTATCAATCCGACTTTCAGTAATTAGAGAAGTGGCCTGTTCTTGTTCAATGACATTCACAACCCCTGATACATTGCTTTGAGCCTCCCTTCCTGGCCTCGAATAATTCGGATCACATAAAGAAGTTACGTGTCTTCCACTACATTTTTCACATTTAATAAATCGGGACTTACAAAATTTAGAGCTATGATTTGGTTTCGTACACCGAAAACATCTTTTACTTTCTTTTAAAATATCTTTTTTCTCTGTCAGTGTCAGCGATCCGTTACAATTCATCGTATTATGAGTTGCTGATTTACAAAACAAGCAACAATCTTTGACATTCGTTATAAGTCCTGCTGCTGTAGATACATCTCGTTTCGGATTAGTGTAGAACTGTTTATTTTCGTGAAATCGTTTTTCTTTAACTACTTCTGATCCTGATGAACTCTGCGCCTGCTCTACTGCCTCAACTTCAACTTTTATGAAATTCAGCAACGTTTTTATTTGTTTTTCATAATCATAACATGGATTATTAGTAGATATGCCTTCTTGAATTTTTTGTTTGTTAAATTCAACTCGCAAAGTATATGGCAAATTTTTCATTATCACAGACTTTACCATCAAACCATATTGATTGGCCGAAATACCCAATGAAACGAATGAACGAGTAATTGTTGACGTTAAATTGTACAATTTTCTCAACGCTGCTGCATCATTCTTATACTTGATAGGAGGTAAAGACATTATCTGCTGAACATAGTTGTCTATGATTCTTTCATTATTACCATATTCATTTTTCAACATTTCGATTGCATCTGCATAACAAGACATACTAGATGATAACCCACTGATTGTAACAGCTGCCTTTCCAGATAACAGTGATTTCAAATAATTGAATTTAGCGTTTTCATCTAAGTCGACGTTTTCATGAATTACTGTTCGATATTGTTCCCAAAAAGCAGGCCACAAAGTTATATCTCCGTTGAACTTCAATAAATCTAGTTTAGGTAATCTCACCGATTTAGCTTGATGAACATTTCTTGTGGATGTCAATACTTCACCTCCTTCATTCAGTTGCGATTCTGGGAATGGACATCCGGTATTCACTTGGGATTTCTGACTAACTACCTGCTCCATTTTTGCAATAATTGTAACGGCAGCATCATCATACTCGACTATCTTCTCGCATTCTTCTTCGATCTGGTCATCCTCAAAAGTAGGTAATAATCTTCCGTTCAAAATATACAAATTTTCCTTTGACGCTTTCACTCTTGAAATCAAAATGTTCAGTTCTTTCTGATCTATGGTACTTGCGTTTATTAATTCGTTTGCCATATTTATCAGCTTTGATAATTGGGTCCGGTATGTATTTCTGAGAGCCAAGTCCATTCTTCTGCACGTTCGTTAGATATTCAAACCTTCCCTGGTTTCGGCACCAAAATGTGAAAACTACGTTATCTGTTTTCACTGCCCTGATATCGATCAGTTGTGAAGGTTCAAATAAAGCTCAGTTGAAACAGAATTATATTAATAACTTGACATTACATCGCTAAATTATGTGTCATTCTTTTTAGTACTCCTGTCTAGGATACTGGGTGATTTTCAACAATATCAAAATCAAGGATAACATTATTTTGGACAGTACCACGAGTTGTTATTGAATCAAAAAGGTGTCTGTATTTTGCAAAAGCATATCAGCAATTTCTTATGAAGTCTCGTCATGAGCGTGCCAAAATGACTATCATTTTTGTAGACATTTTGTGAAATAATTTATAAATGTCATTTAGCTTCAGGTTTGTACAATCTCGCTAAACTATGTCTGATATTTGCTATATTCCATATATTTATTCAGATACAGAACCAGTCAAATTTTCTCAAAGCTGTGAAGGTTAATCTTCAGCTCAATCTCCACTGGTCAATAGGAAATGTTCTCAACTGTTCTGAACGAAATTTTCAGCCAGGTTTGGCAGTCAATAATCTCAGCTACTCAGCTGTTTGTGGTTTTCTGATAAGGTTAGAAATAACTTCAAAACTTTCTTTCTATTTGCCAGAATATTCATTGAGGACGGCAATTGATTTGTGATGAGTTTTCCCTTCTCAGTCTTCGTGAACCAAAAGTTTATAAAATGAAAAATCTATTGTTAAAACTTGAAAATCAGAAAGTAAATGTTGGGTCTAGGCTAGTGGTGAAAGAACTAATTTTTTTCTGAGATGCGAAAAAAGTTAGACGTTTTATCTCTGTTGATGGCTTTCGGTATGCCGAAAAATAAGCAAATAATACCGTCTCCGAGAAAGAACTGAAAATCCTTTTTATCTCCCATTCCACTTCACGGATACATAAATCACTAAACAACCACTAAAAGTTCACAATTTTTTTAAATCAAAACAGAATTAAATTGACAGTCATTCAATCACTTCAAAATTTTTCCATAGCAACAATAAAGATGCCTGCAAACACAGATGTACTACCAGTTGAAAACTTGAAATTTCACATCGCTTCGCGTCGGGAGACACCAAAACCTCGAACTCGAGCTAAAATGTAATACTTTTTTCCCTTGTATAATAAATACCTATTTTTTTCACTTTTTTCAAACTTATAAGGAACTAGCAGACCTAGCATACGTTGTTTTGCTATATACATTATTTCTATAATATATTTTTTCATTTCAATATTCACCAAGACACTATTATTATTTTATTGTCTACTTCTTTTTAGTTAGACTATCTTTAAAAGCGTGTTTCTTCAGTTTTTCAAACTACCATTTATATCAACTTCTTTTGAGCTCACTTGAATTTGCCAACTTTGACGAAAGCATCATAGAATCCGACTCTTATAACCCCAGATGAAAATTTTGAATAGAATCGGTATATAATTACAAAACTCGTCTGGTATATTGGTTTCACCGTCTTGAATTTCCAAATCCCGCCCTTTCCAAATTTTGACGAAAGAATCATAATCTCCGACCCCGAAAACACCCAGATATCAATTTTGAAGAGAGTCGGATCATAATTACAATACTTGTCCGGTGTACTGGGACCGCCATCTTGAATTTACAAACTTTGTCGAAAGAATCATAATCTCCAACCCCCAGAACCACCAGACCAAATTTGAACAAAATCGGATCCTAATTACAAAATCCGCCATTTTGGATCCTTTATCTTGAATTTCTTAATTTTGACGAAGGAATCATAATCCCAGATCACGAAAACCCCCAGGTACCAATTTTGAAAAGAATCGGATTATAATTACAAAACTCGTCCGCCGTATTGGTTCCGCCATCTTGAATTTCCAAATTCCGCCCGACTTTTTATTCTTTCGTAAGAATCATAATCTCCGACCCCGGAAACCCCCAGATACCAATTTTGAATAGAATCTAACCATAATTACAAAACTCGTCCGATATATTAGATACGCCATCTTGAATTTTCTAATGGTACCGGGATGCGATTTTACTAAATATACTGCACGCTAGCACAAACCACGCCCACCATAATACGTCATATCTCCAAACATTACCGATATACTCGGAGTCAGCACATCGCACTAAATATACTGTGCTTCAACGCAAGAATACACTTTTTATGATTTTGACACGAATTCGACTGAAGCTCTCTCGTTGTCAATCTCTTGTACGCAGTAAATTCACATACCCAAATGGTCTACTGGTTAGCGCTGTCGACTTTCAGTCTGAAGGCCCATGGTTCGAATTGCTGTGAACTTGAACTTTTTTTTGCAACTTTTTTTTTCACCAATGTTTTTTTACTTCATTCTGGTTTTCCTTTTTCATGAAATATTTGAAGTCAAATAGGTTAGTGCGTTTAGGATAAACAGTCTCATTTTATTCAATTTTGTTGAAGAACTCAACTTTTGAAATATATTATTAATCAATGTGTTTCTACACTCCATTCGGTTTTCCTTCTTCAAAAATATTGCAATCAGGGATAGGTTAGTTCGTTAAGGATAAATAGTTTCTGAGTTTTGCCTAAGTACTTCGAAGATGAGATATTACGGTGGGCGTGGTTTGTGCTAGCGTACAGTATATTTAGTAAAATCGCTACCGGGATGCAAAGTATCCTATAACCTTCTCCCGGTTCTAAGCTACTACCCCACCAATTTTCAGTCAAATCGATCCAGTAGTTTCGGAGCCTATTCGATACATACAAACAAACAAACAATCAAATCTTTCCTTTTTATACTATTAGTATAGATTATTAAATCTATCGGATGGAATTTTAGTTGCTCTACTGATGTTACAGGTAAAGGATGGGAGAATCACATCGAAGGACAAAAGCTCAAAGCGGACGGTGACAGTTTCCGTTTGAAACTCAACACCCAAGAAATCTTTGATGATTGGGCGCGTAACGTGCAACAGCGTAATTTGGGAGTTTCCGGTAGAATTTTCACCATCGAGGCTGTTCGATCGAGAAGCGGCAGGGGCAATGTATTGAAGCTCAAAGTGAACTTCTTGCCCGAGATCATCACTCTGGCTAAGGAGGTCCGAAACCTGAAATGTCTAGGTTTCAGAGTACCGCTGGCGATCGTCAACAAAGCTCACCAGGCGAACCAGCTGTACCCGTTCGCGATATCGTTGATAGAAAGTGTCAGAACGTACGAGATGACACTAGAAAAGGTACATGATGAAATCGGGTCCTTATGAACTTGTTTCTGAAATTTTTTGGTTTCTTTTATGGGATCATGGAATAACATTATTTTCAACTACTAACATGATTAGATAGAAGACATAGAACTGAAAATAACTTACTTATTTTAGCTTACAAACAGGATTAGTCATCCCACTGGTGTGAAGGTAGATAGTTCGATGGTTGATGTATTCTTGTATGATGCATTTTAGAATGATATAAAAAAATTGCATGATTCTGTATACCTTTCTAGCAAAAAACATTTTTTATCAACTATTCGCCTTGCTAATGATATAGAATTTTTACAAAAGAAGAATTCATTTTGTAAATTCTAGTGCTTCCCTTGTCTCCAGTGTTATATAATCCTATTTTTAATCCTTACTGCGTGCTGCATACATTATTTTCTCTAGGAATTGTAAAAACTGGAAAATTAATGTATGTGATTTTGTTCTTGTCTAAGTTGTGTTTTATGTTATTTGCTTTTTTCAATACTTAATCCATCAAACAAATATATAAAGCCTGGTAGAATATTTGTCTCCATAGGATGTATTGCAACAAATTCATACCGGCTTACCCTATCAAAATACGCTATTTTGGTTTCAAATAACTAATGATAAATCCTTATTTTGCTATATCGTTAATTGAATAGGAAGAAAGGAATATATCAAACTACCAATAACCCTGTATATTCGACATAAAAGCATGTGAACTCAGTTGTATGCTGTATTTACCCTGAACTGCTTGGTGTTTTTGTTCTCTCATTCAATATTTATTTTCAAAAAATAAGTAGGAACTTTTTTGCTACATAAGGCAATGCTCACTGAGGCCATTATTGCTGGGTATAACAATTGTTGTGGCTAATTTTCCTTTTCCTCCAAATACTTTTATTTTTTGAAAAATAATAATAATGGTAAGTTGAATGACTAGAGAGGTCCATGAACTAAAATTTTTTTGAATTTCGTATGCGGATCTATTAGTTACGTCAATCCTAGCATTGACCAACATACTTCATAAAAGGCCGATGCGAAGAAACGCTAGTCGGATTTTGACTAGGTTAGGTTATCGGTAGTGTCATTTCAAGATAACGAAAATTTGTGCCTTACCGATCTGCACACATTTTTTATTTGATTTTTAATAAAACCAAACCAGATTATTTTATCCTTTTCAAAATAAGATTCCACCATCATTGATGAATGACTTGCGATTAACAAAGACGTCACTGCAAATCACAAATTTGCCGTATCTATTGATATGTTTGTATATGTATTTGCAGCTGCAATAACTAAACAGTAGTATTTTGTAGAAGATTTATTTGAATAATTCCTCCAACCAAATAACATGAATCACTCTCTCTGTTTACTTTTGAAATACTATTTGAATTATCTTTCCTGATATCCTTTTCTAAACGCATCCAAAAACAACCTTTTCAACTAAAACTTGCTCTTCAAATTATATCACATAAATTTGAAGAACTCAGTTTGTTTCTATGAAATATATAAACTGTATCCCTCAACAGCAATTCCATTGCTAAAAATTATCTCATGGGTCTTCATAGTAGAGAAATTGGCCGCCATTTTTCTTGTCAGGCTATTCAAAGATTAACAGGGGAAGCATTTAGATCCTCGCTGTAAATCTGTCCATTATTTATATTAGTACGTTCTTCAAATATTGGAGAATTATTGTTGAAAAAATGATAATTACCTCCCAGATCGAAGACAAGGCCAGCATCATCCCCCTGGTGGCGGGAATGCGCAAAGAAGTGCAACAACTCATCGCCGAGGGCATCCAGCTCGTTTGGGAAAGTTACAAGCTGGACCCGTACGTCCAACGTCTCTCCGACAATGTCGTTGGCTTCCAAGAACGAGTCGAGGAACTCGTCATCGTTGGCGAACAACTAGAAGTCGACGTGAGGTAATGAAAATAAAAATATTAGTCTATGGTTGAAGTGCATATTTTCTAAAAGTGGAGTGAATAAGACACACTTTGAGTCAACTCCACAAATTTATTATTACCCATCAGTACCCTGTTTTACCACTAACCAAACCGATTTTTTAAACGCCCCGACACATGTTTCGCTAACTATGTTAGCATCTTCAGGAGAAGTGAAGAAGAGGAGTGTATTACCGTGCCAAAGGTTCCAGTCTTCGATATATTACCCATCAGGAACATCTGAACATGTTTTAGACCATCAATAGTCCATCATCAGCAGCCCTTTGGACTGTGAGCACTTTGCCCTCTTTGATTTTTGAAAAAACATAACAAATTGTAATATTGCGGTTGCCCTTTTTTCACTTCCACACTTCACTTCACTTTGGTTGATTTTTTAGTCTTATAAAAAACATTCTCCTTTGTAGAAATTTCTTTGATAATACAGCTGATGAAGGACTATTGCTTGCCTGATCAGCCTGTCAGATGGTCCTAATGTATACTAATGAATTTGTGGATATGATTTGTTTCTGTAATAATATCAGATTATTAATCGATGAGATGTATTGTAGTAAAAAATTAGACACATTAATGGCATTTAACAATTTTGTATATGTATCCGATAAATTAACTGTTTCGTGGAACATAAGTTCTGGAGTGCTATTTTCAATATGAATGTTATATTTATTTTTTCATATGCGATTTTTCTCACTATCGCAAGTTGGCGTTACTAGAGCGTGAGATTTATGCCAAAGTCAAAAGTCTCAGAATTTTGGTGGATAGCCCTGGAGGATAAGACCTGCTTTTTTGAAAATTTCCTGAAACTACAAGCGGAATGGTTCATCAACCATCCGAGAAAGCAGCCTCAGCAAACCAGCTAGAGCTTATCACAGGCAAGCTTATCACAGGCTTTCTCACGGGACACTTTCCTCTGAGGTACCACCTCTAAAATATGGGTTAAGCGGAGTCTGCCACTTGCCGCTTTTGCAACAACCGTCAGTGAAATCCTAGGCTTCATTGAGGTCTGGGGTTAAAAGACTAAAAATTATATAAATAAAGGGTAATCATGATAGATCTTCTGGGTCGTAGTAATCGAGAAGTTGCCCAACCCATATGACCCACCTACAATCTACAATGTGAATACATGGAAAAACTCCAGTTATGATTAGACATGAGCAGGCTTTTTACCATTGTGAGACTACGCGCATTGTATACATTAACAGAGAAGAAGATGTCATAGGAAGAGGCCAAATGAAACACAAAGAAAAAAGTATACCTATCAGTTCTTCCAACCTTGACCTCACGTCTCAGTAGCGCGATCTGGCTGACAATCAAAATATGTTAGCTCTCAATGAAATTCATCACAGAACTAGAAATGTTGATGAAGGAGGTCGAATTATCAAATAATGAATAATCTGAACAACATAAATACAGCTGCTGTAGGAGCCTCGGAAGATGCCGCGATTCTTGCCCGAGGGGGCAGAAGATATCACCAAGTGATGATTGACTTCAAAAGGATTGAATGAAAATGAGTTTGTAAAGATTTGCAACTCAACCAAGCCATTGACTTGCTTGAGCCACATATAAAGGTATCAACATCGGATATTATCAACACTACGCTTCTTAGCAAATGGAAGCTATCAGCTTGATATTGGATATTGGCAACCATTTGTATCATGCTATTAACCATGTTTCTTTTACCAAAGCGATACAAGCTTACAGATGTTCTGTACAGCTGAAATTTTGAATTCATATGTCCATATGCCAATGATCATTGTTCTATCAATTTTTGAATGCCAGTTCTCGAGATAATTATAATCTAGTTTTTTGCCCATTATTCAATGTTTTGATATCTTTAATGCCAAATATCGTAAGCACTTTTGACCAATTTTTTTGTTCGTATAGAGTGATTTGTAGTTATTTTTTTGTATTATAAGTTGAAAACGTATAATTATTGTCTGGGATCCAGTACCTTTTCTACTGAGTTAACCTCATTGCTAGAGTCCGGTGAGTTTTTTCCTTGAAGAATTTTTAAAAAATCTCTCAATCAACTTTCACATCTTCGAGCCATATGAGCCTTCAGTGGAACGCACCCCAACTAGCTCATAGGCTTATCACAATGAAGATGACTGTCCATCACTATACTCAAATATTTTCTATCTCTCGGTAGGTCGTTGGAAACCTGCCCCTATTCCGCCAACACGTTCGCCGACATCCTCTCCAAAATCCAGCATGCCGTGGACGATCTGTCCCTGAAGCAATTCTCCAATTTGCATATCTGGGTGAGCCGATTGGACGAAGAAGTGGAGAAGAACCTGGCGCGTCGGCTGCAAGCCGGCATCGAGGCTTGGACTGACGCTCTGAGCGGCAAGAAAAAGGAGATCGATCACAGCATGGATACGGACGCGCCCGTCCAACCGACGCACAAACCTGGCGGCGATCCGCAAATCCAGATCGCCGTTCACGAGGTCCGGATCACCAATCAGACCATGTAAGGCAGAGAGCGTGTTCTCAAAATTCAATTCATATGCTTTATTGTTAAAAGAAAACAACATTCTGAAGCCTAAAAATGTTCTTGAAATAATTATAATGATTATTTCATTCACACCCGGCTGGACCTATGAAATGTCATGATTGAAGTCACATGATATGCGATATCAGCGGCTATTTAAGTAAACAAACAACATGAGCGGCTATTCTGTTCGCCAGCATAAGAACCATAGCACGGTTGTCAAACTTTGACATACCTATCAGTCACTCAAAAATTGAAATTTCACGTTTTGGGTCAACTTCCACTGCGGAAATTCGTAATTATGTAAGCGAATCGATATCAGAAAATTACAAGGAGAGTAAAAAGTCTGTGTGGACCAATTCATGTTTTTTGCCAGCAGAAAAACCGTGATTGCCGAAATCCTAAAAGGGTGAGGAAAATGGTGAGGAATATGAGGAATAATCAGTTGAAATTGATATGGAAAACTATATATACAGAAAGGTTACTTCAATGAACATAAACGTAAGACAAATCCGTTTGAATATATCGAATTCAAAGGTGCCACGTTTGCGCATAATGCAAAAAAGCGAAGCCTACAATATTTTCCTCAAACAAGAAAGGAAAGTACAGAAGCTCTAATCAAAGAATGTTAACGCTATCAATAGCGTTGATATCCTTTCATTATTCGAACTTAAGATGAATTGATTACAATTGTACGTAAATATGATGAGAATACCTCAGACGGCCTTCAGAAGAATTTTTGGTTCAAATAGTGTCTGCAGAATTGTAACTTGAATAAAATGTTGAAACTCATATAAACAAGTATTTTTGCACTGTTCATGAAATAATCTAGCTGAATATCACTCGACCATGACAAATGGAGACTATTATTTTCATTAATTCATCTCGAGTAACTTGTTTTTTGGGAAAATTCAATTCGACCATATGAACATAAATAATCATAGAATAACTCTCGAGATAGTGTTAATACAAGTTCACCACTCTGCGGACAGATGGCACTATATGACTACTTGAGTGGAATGATCCACCAGTCCTATTCGAAGAACTAGATCTCATTTATTTAAATTATCATTGATATAAATGTGACTGTCTTCTAAAACTTAGGAACTTGTAGGTATTTGTATCCGAGCATCGAGGAGGCGAGGTCACAGATAATGCAGCAACTGTTCGCTTGGCAGGCGATCGTCACGTCGCAGCAGCGGCTGCAGAGCAGCAGGTACCAAGTGGGCGTCGATAAGCCTGTCACTGAGACGTACAGGAATATTCTGACCAAGTTGCCGGGGGGACCGCTGCCTCTTACTAGTGCTTACAGCGCGATTGCTTCCAAAATAAAAGAGGTTCGTGGTTTTGATGCTTTTCTGAAAGTGTACCGGAACTTCAGCAAAATATTATTTCACATCAAATGCCGGAGACAGATCAATGGCAGGTGATCTGGAAAGCTCAAAGCAGCTAGTACTGGTGAGGTTGGAGACCATGTCAGCTGTCGTTCTTCGTTTATTTTTCCGCAGTTACGAGATTTGTTTACTAAACTTCATCAATAATTGTTAAGAGTAAGCCTCAATGTATTATCATGCCTCCGTGTTCCCCGAGAAAATATGAAATGAGAAGACAACACAAGTAGATGGCAGATGCTCCCCATCCACACTAGTACCGCTACGCAAGAGCAATAATTATTAATAATTGTTTCTATTTCCCTTGTAACACCTTTGACAGAATACTTTTCTACTAGAGTACCTCAACTTCTTTCTACGCTTTTTATAGAACGAGCACTGGAGAAAACAATTTGAGAAGAATATATCTCCATTCGCGATAGAAAATAAGCGTACGCCATCTATCGAAGTTCTTGAAAGCTGTAGAGCTGGCATGTTTACTTGGTTTTCATTGGTTCACATTCGTTTTTTTTGTGCTTATTGATCATATCATCAAAACAAACCGCTCAGAAGTGTTCAAGTTGCTGCCGTCAGGTGGGGCAACGTGTTGTTTTCTATCGCGAATACTATTTTCATTAGTGGTATGATTTTCTGGGGGTTTCTAATAATATACAATATAACATTGAAGATATTTTTCACGGGAACACAAATAATGACGTTTCCCTGAAGACTAATTCTGTGCTTGATGGTATTCACATAATTTTCAAGGTCCAGTTTTTCAAATATTAGGACAGCGAAATTTATCAACCTATATCTATACATATTTTTTTGATTACAAACGATATTAATGGGAATTAAAAAAATGATTCAAATTTCATGAACTATGAGCCAGTGGTTATTATAGATTTTATAAATGAAAACCTATAAATCTTCCATTAGGCTTCATCATACGGTACCAAGGCAGTATACACACCGCATTAAATAAAGACAGAGTATAAATATTCAAAATTCATGCTGTTCAACACTTACTAAAAGATGCAGTTAGCAGGATCGCAATGGTCAAGTACCTTTTTCTTGTTTTCTTGAATGTCTAATTGATTAACGAATTATTTCATTGTGGAATTTAGAGACAAAATGGACAATCTTAATGTATATGAAGTCACTGATATTAAATTAGTATAGTACTTGTGGATGAACAGAATCCTTTTTCCGTTTGTGAACTAATATGATGAAATAAATGCAAATGATTTTTGTCACATATTAACGATGCTTTAGCTGCCACATACATACCACAAAATTAAATTCATTGAAAGACTGAAATTTAAAATAATTTCAGTGTTGATTGTTCCATTTGTTGTTAGGTTCAAAATTATGTCAATGAGTGGCTAACTTATCAAGCATTGTGGGATTTGCAAGCCGACAATTTATATGGGAAACTTGGCGAAGATATTGGAAAATGGATGGAATGCCTAAATGATATCAAGTGAGTAATTCGTCAACCCTAAATCAGGTATTATTTTGACACTTTATTGGATTCAGGAAAACAAGAACAACCTTTGACACATCCGATACCCGAAGAGAATTTGGACCCATAGTGATTGACTTTGCCAAAGTCCAAAGTAAAGTATCCTTAAAATATGACTCATGGCACAAGGAAACCCTGAGCAAATTTGGAGGATTGCTGAGCAACGAGATGACGACATTCCACTCCAATGTTTCAAAATCAAGATCGGATCTAGAACTGCAAAGTATCGAAGCAGCGAGTACTTCAGATGCAGTTAGCTTCATTACTTACGTCCAACAGCTAAAACGAAACATGAAGGCTTGGGAGAAACAAGTAGAAATTTATAGGGAAGGTCAACGTATTTTGGAACGTCAACGATTCCAGTTTCCTGTGAATTGGTTACATGTAGAAAATTTAGAAGGTGAATGGGGGGCATTCAACGAAATAATCAAGAGGAAGGACTCTAGCATACAGACACAAGTGGCAAGCCTTCAACAAAAGATCGTTTCTGAAGATAAAGCCGTTGAAAGCCGAACTAATGATTTCCTTATTGATTGGGAAAGAAGCAAACCGGTTGAAGGACATCTCAGACCAGACGAGGCACTTTCTCAATTGCAGCTCTTTGAAAGTAAATTTGCTCGTTTGAAAGAAGAAAGAGATAATGTCGCCAAGGCGAAAGAAGCCTTAGAATTGCAAGAACCAGGTGGTATCAGCACCAGTGAAGATCGTATGATGGTTGTGTATGAAGAACTGCAAGATTTGAGAGGCGTTTGGTCAGAGCTTTCTAGAATTTGGCAACAAATCGATGAGACTAGAGAAAAACCTTGGTTGTCTGTGCAGCCTAGGAAGCTGCGCCAACAGCTCGATGCCATGTCGGCACAACTAAAAGAACTTCCTGCTCGGCTGAGGCAATATGCTTCATATGAATATGTCAAGAAAACTCTACAAACATATACTAAGGTTAACATGATGATTGTTGAACTGAAATCGGATGCATTAAAAGAACGCCATTGGAAACAACTCATGAAACAATTACGAGTCAACTGGGTTTTATCTGATCTTACCCTGGGGCAAGTATGGGACGTCAATTTGCAGAAGAACGAGTCCATTGTCAAAGATATCATCCTCGTGGCGCAAGGTGAAATGGCCCTGGAAGAGTTCTTGAAACAAGTTCGTGAGTCTTGGCAAACTTACGAGTTGGACCTTATCAACTACCAGAATAAGTGTAAGATAATCCGAGGTTGGGATGATCTATTCAATAAAGTCAAAGAACACATTAATTCGGTTGCGGCAATGAAGCTTTCGCCATATTACAAAGTTTTTGAGGAAGAAGCTCTCACTTGGGAAGAAAAACTTAATCGTATCAATGCCTTGTTTGATGTTTGGATCGATGTGCAAAGGCGCTGGGTATATCTAGAAGGTATATTTTCTGGAAGTGCAGATATCAAAACTCTCCTTCCTGTAGAGACTTCAAGATTCCAAAGTATCAGCTCTGAGTTCTTGGGGCTGATGAAGAAAGTTAGCAAGAGTCCTATGGTTATGGATGTTTTGAACATACCAGGAGTACAAAGAGCTCTTGAGAGGTTAGCAGATTTGCTTGGTAAAATCCAGAAAGCCCTTGGAGAATATTTGGAAAGGGAACGCACATCTTTTCCACGTTTCTACTTTGTTGGTGATGAAGATCTTTTGGAAATTATTGGTAACAGCAAGAATATTGCAAGATTGCAAAAACATTTCAAGAAAATGTTTGCCGGGGTAGCATCAATTCTTCTTAATGAAGACAACAATGTGATTACTGGTATTGCTTCCAGAGAAGGAGAAGAGGTAGTATTCGGAAATCCAATTTCAACAGTAGAACATCCCAAGATCAATGAATGGCTCACGATGGTAGAAAAAGAAATGCGTGTCACATTAGCATCGAATTTAACTCAAGCTGTACAAGACATCAAACAGTTTAAAGATGGAGTCGACCCAAAAACATACATGCAGTGGGTCGACAAATACCAAGCCCAAATTGTTGTACTAGCCGCACAGATATTCTGGAGTGAAGATGTTGAAGCAGCACTAGTCAAAATGAACAGTGAACCGCAAAAAGGCCCGCTTGATAAAGTTCTACAACAAGTAGAGAATACTTTGAATGTTCTTGCTGATTCTGTTCTGCAAGAACAGCCGCAGTTGAGAAGGAAGAAGTTGGAACATCTTATTAACGAGTTTGTGCATAAGAGAACAGTTACAAGAAGACTGATTTCCAACGGAGTTTGTAGTAACAAGGCATTTGAATGGCTGTGTGAGATGAGATTCTATTTTGATCCTAGACAGACTGAAGTTCTCAAACAACTCACCATACATATGGCTAATGCCAGATTCTATTATGGATTTGAATATTTGGGTGTTCAAGATAGGTTAGTACAAACACCTCTTACTGACAGATGCTATTTGACTATGACACAAGCTCTTGAGGCAAGACTAGGAGGTTCTCCTTTCGGTATGTTTGGACAATATATATATATTTCACATTTCCTTCAATTCTTTTTGTTTTTTAGGTCCTGCTGGTACTGGTAAAACAGAATCAGTGAAAGCTCTGGGTAACCAATTAGGTAGATTTGTGTTGGTGTTCAATTGTGATGAAACATTCGACTTTCAAGCCATGGGTAGAATTTTTGTTGGTCTTTGTCAAGTCGGTGCTTGGGGATGTTTTGATGAGTTTAATAGATTGGAAGAGAGAATGCTATCGGCAGTCTCTCAACAAGTACAGACCATTCAGGAAGCTCTCAAATCCCAAATGGAAGCTGCAGCAGAAGGTGTTACAACTGGCAGTAAGTTCATAGATTAATACGTTTGTCTCTCCGCTCATGATGAGAATGTTTGCGTCATATGTGTCATTTTAAAACGTCAACCTATCGATGTAGTGAGACATTGTCAATATTGACATGACCATGACACTTTTTTGGAAACTTCTCTGGGCCAACCCAATCCGAAGAGATCACGTGACCACGTGACGGATAACTGGGTTCACTTACCCGATTAATATACTACAAAGAACATATCAGGTTTCTCACTCTCTATTCTGATCATTCTGATATCTATTCTGATATAACGCCGTCAACGTCAATAATAATAACGATATGAACCAAATTTCTTAGGTATTTTGGTTACCCTCAAGATTCAGTCATTTATAATGACGCAAATAAGGTTAATTCTAAGTACGATATATCATGAGCTAGATATGAGTTCATCAATCTGCATTCTGCAATTATCTAATATTTTAATCTACATCAAAAATGGAATGATTTATTAGTAAAGAGAATATATTATCAGTTTCATTTTCTACCTGTCATTTTGACTGCCAAATTCAGAAACGACTCCAACCATCTTGAGTGGATTACGAAAGACGAATCGGATTCGGTGATAGGTTTCTGAAAAGGCCTAATACTGAGAACTATCGACATAACCTACTAGAGATTTTCGGTTTGTTGGGATATGACATAGCGGTCTGAATAGTAAGTTATTTAGGTGGTCATTTAAAAACGGTGATATATCATTGGTCACTATTTCAACACAGTTATCTACTTTTGTTTTTCCGTATTCTAATATTTTTTATTCCACTTCGTATAACGGATTTAGTTTGAAACCATTTTTTGTTAATAGGTTATTGTGTTTCTTAATCTGTATGCACAATTGCACAGTATCACAAAAATACATTTCTGAACTATGATTCCAGGCATTAGTGTTGAGTTAGTTGGAAAGCAAGTGAAAGTGTCTCCAGACATGGCGATATTTATCACTATGAACCCTGGATATGCGGGAAGATCCAACCTACCCGATAACTTGAAGAAACTGTTCAGGTCCCTCGCTATGACAACTCCAGACAGGCAATTGATTGCTGAAGTGATGTTGTTCTCACAAGGGTTCAGACAAGCAGAAAAATTAGCATCTAAAATTGTTCCATTCTTCAGGTGAATATTGGCAGAATTGAAAATGGCTTACCGTCTCGGATCGATTCTGTTCCCATTTTATTATAACATTGCCAAATTAACGATTTTTTTATGATCATATGACTATGTAATTCTGTATTTTGTTGCGACAATAACAGCAAGATTGGGAAAAACTTTGAGTGATAGCCTTATTGTTGTAAAACTGTGGATTTTTGTGCTGACAACACTGTTTGCAATCCGTTTGTTTAGTGTTAATTACCATTATTTTTTGAAGGAGGAGAGTTATTGTTTATATAACTTCCTGAATTAGTGTTGTATTGGAAGTGGTTTTTCAAGTTATCAACCATGTCCCGATCATGTTATGATGATCCTATTATGCTCTATAAAACTAACCCTTCCGATATGTATGTCTTTACCAATATCATTTTGATATCTATCAGTGCTAATGAAGGAGACACTTGCAGAGACAAAACAAATTTCATTAGTTGTGATTGCGTATTATACAACTTGGTAATTTTCTTTGACTATACACGCATTTCTATGTGACAGGGAACTGTATGTCTTCTGGTTGGTTTATCAACCAGCTACCTCAACTCTTCAGGTATCACTTTTTTTTTTATTTTTTTTTTATCGCTTGGAGCGCACGAAAGGGAATCCCTATAATGTTCAAAGAACATCGTGCGTTCCTAGGGAGGATAGGGACAGGAGGTAAGTATTGGAATTTTTTTTGAATTTTTGGAGATTATGTTGTTGGGAATACTTCTACAGGCAATGAATTCCAGAGCCTAGCCGTTCTATGGATGAAGGAGTCTTGATAAAGTGCTGTTCGACATCTTTCGAGGTTGACAACGAAAGGATGTGCTGACTGGGCTTGTCTAGTTCGTCTGATTGGTATTGCTAGTGAAGGGATGATAGCAGAGATTTCCGAAGAACATTTCCCGTGGAAGTATCGATAGAAAAGTGAAAGGTCGCCGACCTTTCTACGGTGTTCCAATGATGTCAAAGAGTGAGTGAGTGTGGCGTCACCCACCAGGCGAATGGCTCTTCTCTGGATGGAATCTAAGAGCATCAGCGTATGTTTTGGTGCTGAACCCCATATGTGGGAACAGTATTCTAGAACAGGCCGTATCTGCGCTTTGTAGATCATGAGAAGCTGTTGAGGTGTAAAGTAGCTTTTCGCAAATGACAGCTGGTTTCTCTGATACGTCGTAATTGTAGTCTCATAATTTCGAGTATATATTTTCAAGTAGGTAGGTGTATGATGGTTGAACTATATGTAATTAACTCTTTTTTTAATTTTCTATCACATTGCAAAAGTTATGGTGGAAAAATCAGGGATCCACTATCTTGTTCAACCTTTATGAGATAGCAAACAAAGAATCGATGTTGCCAAGATTTTGGTGGTTAAATTTTGCTGTGATGGCAATATCTTCTTGACAACCATATTGCTACTTGCAAACAGAATCGACCCGATACGAATTTATTTCAATAGCGAATTAATGAGTATTGAGGTACCGAACTAACAACATTACATTTCTAGATTGTGCGACGAACAATTGTCAAACCAATCTCACTATGATTTCGGTTTGAGAGCTCTTAAGTCTGTGCTGATATCGGCCGGTAATGTGAAGAGAGACAGAATTCAGCGCATCAAAGAAGGAATAACACAACGCGGCGAAACTGTCATCGATGAAGCCAGTATCGCAGAAAACTTGCCGGAGCAAGAAATTTTGATACAGTCCGTTTGTGAGACAATGGTGCCTAAACTTGTGGCCGAAGACATTCCTCTGCTGTTCAGTTTGTTGAATGATGTGTTCCCGAATGTTCAGTATACCAGAGCTGAAATGAAAGGTAGACTTTCTCTTATCCACCTTAGTTAATATGATAATGATTTTTTTTTTTTTTTTAAAAAGGTCTCAAGGATGAAATCAGGAAAGTGTGTACAGAGGAATATTTGGTTTGTGGAGAAGGCGATGAACAGGGATCAGCTTGGATGGAGAAGGTTAGTATTTATAATTGTTCATATTATGCGTCAGTTCCAGTTGATTATCTTGCAAAGTGAAGAGTAAAGTAAATATTTGTGAAATAGAGTATGAGGATTGCAGAAAATTATGCACATTTTGTGATAGGGGAAGTCACTTGAGCGATAGCTGATAGTTGAAAAGAGCCCTTGGTTGTAGGTAACTCAATGAGAAAATATTAATGGTTCTGCTTTAGCTTTCACCAGAATAAACACTGACGTAGATCTATAACGTTTTTCTCCAAATGACACTTAACAGGCAGAAAAGGTGTACTTTTACTGCCTATGCAGAAAAAGTTTGTTGCTATGCAACGTTCCAAGTAATTTGAATCAAATTGGTAATCAAAATTGACAATGCCTGGGTGAACAAAAAATGATGGATTATTTGGATGCTTTCCTAGCCTCGGCTACGCCTAGGCTATGAAACGCCAGCCGCGGCATTAAATCTTTTACTTTTCTGCCTAGTAAAACAAATAACTATTATAAATTATACCCAAGAATTGTCAGCTTCACCAGATACCTATTTAACCTAAATCTATCCCAAATCTATGGCGCTATCTGCGGTTAAACCGCTAAAATAAGTTCATATCATTGAAATCACTCTGTATACTGATGTCTAAAAAATCCAACAAGGAGTGCAATTGTTGGTCTGGAAACTTCTTTCATATTCTAACTGCTGCTATACAAGAAAAGCAATATCGCTACTCACAATATCGATGCGTCTTTCGCCGTGAATAACTAGTCAGATCCGCTTCTCCATTATTTGATATCCAGTATCGTCAGAATATTGGTTTCATACAAAAAATCGTCTGCTTATTTTCTTGATGATTCCTTTTTCAGCTTGGCAACTTTTCAATATCTTTTTTTAGTTATTTTCTTCTGACCACCATCATTCATTTTCCAATGCATACTCATTCAGTCAATTTCAATTAGCGCACTTCCCCTTTACAACTAGAACTACCTACAAAACCTATCATCTAATAGTTTTACAAAAACAATAGTAATATAAAGTAATCGGAAACCATGGCATAATTATGACGATTGGAGAAAATATGCCTGATAGAAGACGTCACTAGCGATAGCTGATAGTTTTTGCATGTGGCTAATTCATAATTAAACTGAAATTGTATAAGTTGTATTAACTTGATAAAATCAAACTTTTACGAGAATAATACAGTTTAACATTTCGTGGTGTGATTAGATGTTTGTAAAAGCAAATTTCCATTGTTCGAGTATGAAAGTATAGAAAAGGAATGTTCTAAGATATATTCAAATTTAGAATTGATGTTTGATATCTCACATGAATCCATGAATGTTCTATGATTTTTAAGATCACATCGAAAAAAAAATATGGATCTTGTTGTGATGAAAGATTTAGGTTCCGTAAAAATTTACTGAAAACAGTTTTTCGTCCATATTGACCTCAACGGTATTCTGAATGTTTCTCTTCCATAAATATGTATACAAGTTTATTATTTTTCAAGCACCAATTTATCATTTCATGCTGCACAGAGGGACACATGGGTGGCAAAGGTACATCATCTTGTGATTGTTTCATCATCAAACATATTAAGTTATTCATCAAAAATCCTCATTAAGAAAACTTTTCATATTTCATTCAGGTACTTCAACTGTATCAAATTTCCAATCTCAACCATGGTCTGATGATGGTAGGCCCAAGTGGTTCAGGCAAAAGCACAGCTTGGCGAGTACTTCTGAAAGCTCTAGAGAGATATGAAGGGGTAGAGGGCGTTGCTCACGTTATCGATCCTAAAGCCATTAGTAAAGAAGCTTTGTATGGTGTTCTTGATCCCAACACGAGAGAATGGACTGATGGTCTTTTCACCCACATTTTGAGGTAGTCATTATTTTGTTAATAACAATTATCATATCTTGAAAATGGTGTTAATTAAGTATAAACTTGTTCGGAAGGAAGAAGTTTTCATGAAAAAAAAATCTTACAAAAGAATAAAACGAAAACACAAAATGATCTGCGTGACATATGAAGTGGTCTACCTGAATATTTCACCCAATTCCAAAATCAAATATTATAAAAAATACTAGTCCGATTCGAGGTACTGCCAGGATTACAACCATGAATCACACATTTTAAAGAAAAATGCTCAGCCGATAGCCGGATTCGAACCGACAGTATGTCTGCATCGTGAACGGCTATCTAGCGAATTTCAGCGCATAGACAAACTCGGCCACGGGTGATTTCAAATACCAAAGAATCGTAAAATTCAGTCGAGAATCATTTTTGATCTCTTGATGGCATTTTCTAAATGAATTATTGATGTTATATTTCCTGCCACTTTATACGAGGAATAATTTCGAACGTTATTTCCCAATCATGCTGATCTTAGAGCTTGTGTATCCATCGCCCTATATCTTCTATTTCGATTATTGTGTCATTGTTTTATATTGTCACTAGGAACAATTGTCAGTTATCATCGGCATAGAGCCAGTCGACGCATATGGACAGAGCAGCATGTTGATTGTAAATGGATGATTGGTCAAACTGCCTGTTCAAGGACAAATGCAGATTCAACCTTTATAAGTCAAATGGTCGAAATTAGGTTCGGAGAGAAAAGTGTAGTAGAGACAAGGGTGGCATTTGGTGGAGGAGGTTTGACCGTGTGGGGTGGCATTTCACGAACAAGCCGAACAGAGCTAATTATATTGAACCGTAGACAAACCATGAATGCCACTCTTTATAGAGATCACATCCTGGGTCGTTCACGAAGGAGCTCAAAACTATGGTGATAGGTTCATTTCAGTCGATGACAATGCTCGCTCTCATCTTGCTGGGATCGTAAATGCACTTTTGGAGAAAAACGGCATAAATATAATGATTTGGCCAGCACGTTCGCCAGACATGAGCCCAATCAAGCATGTTTGGAGCCACTTGAAATTGGAAATAACCCGAGGTATCGGAGAACCGATCACGTTCGAGAATCTTTCAAGAATGATTCAGGAAAAGTGGGAGAGAATGCCACGACAATTAATACTTACAGAGTTTAGAGAGCATGCCATCAAGGTGTCATTCTCTTCTGCATGTACGTGAAGCCCCTACTAAATATCGAAATTTCCGGATGTGTCAGTACGTCAAATCAGTAATTGATATCTGCATGGAAGTTTCAATTTTGTAAATAAAAATGAATCATGCGAAAGCAATAATTTTCGATAGGTACCTTGTATATTACCGACAAACCAATGAATGGTGTAGCGAACAGTCAATCACGAATCATAATAACTCATGAAGGGTATTTCGATAACTGATGTAAAAACACTGATTTGGCATTCAGAAAGGAGTTGAACGGCATGACTTCAATATTGGGGAAAATATTCTGTTAACTCGTCATCAGTAAACCTAAAATGATAACAGGAATGATAATAAATCATTCAACGTCAATACAGAGCATTCAAAGGTCAAATATCGCAATATGAATGACTGAATTTTACGATTCTTTGGTATCTCAAATCACCCTGTGGATAGATAATCATTCGATATCAAAGGAATTTAAGTGACGATTGTCGTCGTGTATCGATTTCATGAATAAACTGTTTCATTTCATGAACAGATCAGGTGATATTAAGGACAATATAAAAAACGTCAACTTTCAATGGATAAAGATGTTGCGCATCAATGAAATATCCTAGTGATAAAATCTCGAAACCGTTTCGGCGAAACACATCAAGCATTCATAATATGCCCTAGGAAAAAATCTGAAAATTTTTCCAAATGATTGAGATAACTTCGAAAATATTTATTTTTGTCATGGGCCTATGTTTCTCCCTGTAGATCTGGAAACACAAATTTAATGGGAAGAGTTAGCAAACCATCTCATTCCCAAACGATTTTTACACAACATGGAACGAACCGTTTCAGAATCGCACTAGTATTTTTTATAATATTTGCTTTCAAAATTGGGTGAAATATTCAAGTGGGCCACTTGATTTGTCACGCAGTTTATATTCAACTCCAAATATACCTAAGAAAACGCGAACCATCTTGTGTTACTCCGCATGCCTTTGATTGTTTGGTACTGTAAATTTTGTCAACGCCGACAAATCTATCACTAGCAAATATTTTCTCAACATAAAGTCATCAGTGTTTTTCTGTATTACAGAAAGATTATCGATAATGTGAGAGGAGAAATAAACAAACGGCAATGGATAATATTCGATGGCGATGTCGATCCAGAATGGGTTGAAAATTTGAATTCAGTGCTGGACGACAACAAACTTTTAACTTTACCCAATGGTGAACGTCTATCACTTCCACCAAACGTCAGAGTTATGTTCGAGGTTCAAGATTTGAAATACGCCACTCTAGCTACTGTATCTCGTTGTGGTATGGTCTGGTTTTCCGAAGATGTACTATCCACTGAAATGATCTTCGAGAACTATATTCTTAGCTTGAAGCATATACCTTTGGAAGAGGGGGACGACGATAGTTTCGGCAAAAAATCCGATAACAAAGAAGATTTGCTGTCACCTACCCTTCAAGTTCAATTCGATGTTGCTAATTTACTGCAACCATACTTGTCACCTGATGGTTTGGTGGTACGTTGTTTAGAATATGCCATGGAACAAGAGCACATAATGGATTTCACAAGGTTGAGGGCCTTGAGTTCTCTGTTCTCCATGTTGAATCAGTGTGTAAGGTAAGTGGAAATTCCAAATCCATAATAACCAGAGTGGCCCATGAAACAGAGGCTCTGTAGGTAGCCAGTACCGGATTATGAAAAATCATTGTTCTAAAATATTTTCAGCGCTGCGGCGTTGCCGTTTCTAAAAGTTAAAGTGAAGTCAATTCATTTCATCACGTTAGCTACAAAAATGTATAAATAGTGACAAGTCAGATACAAAGTAAGAGAACATAACATTACAATTACATTACAATTTCATCTAAAATAGTTAACACTAACATATTAAAAGATTAATGTCTCACAATTCAAATACTCTTCAATGGAGTAGAAACAGTGCCCCAATGGTGAGTGCTTAACTCTAACCTTTAAACGGTTGAATTTTAGACCAGTAATATTTGCTGGTATTTTGTTGTATACATGTAAGTTAAGCGAATTTCGAGCCGATAGGTTCAGTCGGTAAAATTGAGGCCTCAGCTGAGCACCTCTTCGAGTTGGGTAATTGTTGTTGTTGTTGTTGTTGTTGTTCTTTATTACCCCAAGAAACATATTTGTTTATAATAGGGATACATAAACATATGATATATATATATATATATATAAAACAATAAAAAAAAACTAATTAACAAGTTATGTCAATATAACATAATAATTAAAATAAAAACCATTCCAAGTATTCAAATGAGAATAAATTGCTCCGTTTATTGTGTCATGAGTATATATTTTTTCATATTGACTTTGAATCTTGTTTCATCATCAATATGTTTCAAATCATAATTTAATGAATTATATAAAATGATTCCGTTGTAGAATACTGATTGTTTGCCAATGATGGAGTTATATGGGTTTGTTATTAATGAATTCAACTGTCTCGTTGCATGAGTATGAATTGTATTTACTTCAGTAAAGTTCAAGTTGGATATTTTTATTTTTTTTCTCACAAAATGGATGAAAGAACAAATTTTCATTTTATATAAAGATGATAAATTCAACAGATTTTTTGGTTTGTAAAGATTAATAGTTGGTTCCAGGTAATGTAAATTGTAAATGCACTTAATTGTTTTATTTTGTAATTTCATTAATGGTTTCAAATGTGATATACTTGTGCTTCCCCAAATTGATATTAAATATTGTAATTTTGAGTAAATCAGACAGAAATATATATTCTTCAAATATCTAAGAGGAATGAAATTTCGAATTTTGTATAAAATGCCAGTAATTGGATTGAGCTTTTTTCTCAGGTGATCTATATGTTTAGTCCACGATAATTGTTCATCAATATAAAGACCTAAGAATTTCGTAATATCTAAATATTTTATGGCTTTCTGGTTGAAAAATATTGTTGTTTTCGACATATCAGTTTTTCTTTTTGAAATATACATATACGTAGATTTGTCATAGTTAAGGGTCAGCTTATGAATTTGTAGCCAAGATGATATCATTTTCAAGTCACTCTTTATATCATCAACTATATCGTTGAATTCTTTAGAGGAATAGATTATTGTAGTATCATCTGCAAATAACTTCAGATCTCCTTTTAGTTTCAAAGATGATATTGAATTGATGTAAATTATGGAAGTGTACATTTGTGAGGTACTTAGTATTGTTTTTGTGTATTTCTAAAACATTGCAAAGTATGAAGATACATGGTAAGGGCAGAATTTTAAGTTCTTGAAATAAGGGGGGACAGTGTTTTCTATAAGAGACATTGGCTATAATAGGAATTGCTTTTTTTGTATAGGAAAGACTTTAATTGGATGTGAAGATTGACCCCATGTTGGGTGGCAGTTGAAAAGAGGAAAGTATGTCTGACATAGCATACTTTGACTAAGACACTTTTCAGCTGTCTGTAGTAGGAACAGTTGTGTAGAAAGTTCTCTGAACACGCCAGCGATATGTGCTTCCCAATTCAACATGTCATCTATTTTAAACCCCAATAAATTTACATGTTGCTTCGTTGTTACTTGTCGGTTTGATGATATTATAAACTTCTGTGTCTTATCCCTGTTTAATTTGAGGTAATTTGAGGTAAACCAAGTTTCAGCATTATTATTTGTCTTAGAACATACGTCCATCAAGTCGTTACAGTTTGAGTCTGCTTCTACCGTTGATACATCATCTGCATAACAGAAAGATGAACTTGGAAGTTGTATATAATTACCTAAAATGTCCTTATAAGGATCCGCTCGATGTGACCAGCACAATGTTTATCGATTTTTTTCCTTTACAAATTAGATAACTACTCTTGTACCTTTTTTCGTTTCTATTTATTCTTCGCAAACTTCAACTCTTTTTTTTATCTTTCAAAAACATGTCATCTCTTAAAAAATACAATATACAAAGTCATTCGAAATCACTAACATTACAAATTCAAAATAAAACCCAACATTCTCCCCCCTGTATTCAAATACGGCCTATCCTTGAATACATCCTTCCAAAATATCAATCGGGCACAACTTGGCAACAGGCCGACGATAAATGTTGTCTCTGATCTTGATATCGACGACACGAACTTTCCCATCTTGTCCTGGATGGACTGCAACAATTCTTCCTAGCGGCCAATTGTTTCTTGGAAGTTTGTTATCCATGACAACAACTATTTCCCCCTTCTCCAAATTTTTCTTGTCCTGGATCCATTTCGACCTTCTGCTTAGTGTTGGTAAATATTCTCGTATCCAACGATTCCAAAAATGTTCAGCCAATTGCTGTGAAAACTGCCATTGTTTTTTCAAATTGAACTCCATTTCTTTTTCAGTAAACACGATAGGTGGCTTAGCTACACTAGATGTGCCTATGAGGAAATGATTAGGAGTAAGACTCTCGGGATCTCCACAGTCTGAAGAGACATATGTAAGAGGTCTGCTGTTCACGGTATGTTCCACTTCGGCTAGTAATGTCAATAAAACTTCTTGTCTTGGCGCTTTTTCTTTGAGAATTTTCTTCAGGCCATCTTTAACTGAACGTACCATACGCTCCCAAGCTCCACCCATGTGTGGACTTCCTGGCGGAATAAATTTCCATTCGATCTCATGAGCTATCATTTTTCTCGAAATCAAATCTTCATCCAAATTTTGAATGGCTTCTTTCAGTTCCTTGTTCGCAGAAGTCATGTTTGAACCATTGTCACTCCAAATTTCGAGAGGATGTCCTCTTCTGGAAGTAAACCTTCTAATTGCTAAAATAGTCGAGTCAGTGGTAAGAGATTCTGCGAGTTCTATGTGAATTGCCCTGATTGAGAGACAGGTAAAAATCACTCCGTATCTCTTTTCTCTCCTACGTCCGATTGAAACTTCCATGGGTCCGAAATAGTCCATCCCTGTAAAACTGAATGCTCTGGGTGGTCTCTGCAGTCGCATCTTTGGAAGTTGGCCCATTTCAGGAACTTGAGGCTTCGCCCTTTTCAATCGACAGAAATTGCAATATTTGATTATATTTGTCACTAATTTCCTGGCCTGTAATATCCAAAATTTTTGCCTTATTTCATTCAAAGTTTGTTGAACACCAATATGATTGTTTCTGGAATGATAGAATTGTACAAGTAATTTTGTGAAAGCATGTTTATTGTCTAGAATGATGGGCCTTTTTGTTTGAAATGAAAACTCGGTGGAGTTGTCTGTTCTTCCTTTCAAACAGATGATGCCATTTTCTAGATATGGAGACAACTGATGAATTCTACTACTTTTTTCTACAGTTGCATTTTTCTTTAAAAGGCGTATTTCCTCTGCAAAACATTCTTCTTGTACTTTCATACACCAACTTCTTTCTGCTTTCTGCAATTCTTCTCTTTCCAACTCTTGTTTTTAAGACTTCACAAAGCCAGACATGTGGTAAGATATTTCCAAATCAATCCAATAAAGAGAGATTTAAAACAACTCTTGTTACTTCTCAAGAGAAGAGGAAAACCATACAAAAATGTATTTTATGCAAAGAAGAACACTCAATAGATAAATGCAAAACATTTTTCTTGTACTTTCATACACCAACTTCTTTCTGCTTTCTGCAATTCTTCTCTTTCCAACTCTTGTTTTTTCAATCCACTTCCTCTTTTCTTGATGTTATCTATAAATCTGAAAACGAAAGCTGTACTTCTTATCAATTTCATGTAGTTTGAAAATCTTGTGATTTCTGGTAGATAATCTATATTTTCTGTAACTGAAATTAACAAGATGAATTCTTGCTTGAGTTCGAATTTTTCGGGTTCTTCTTGAATGTCTGTGTCTTTCTCCTTCTCTTTCTCTTGCTTTGGCCAGAACTCTTGATTCAAGTATAAAAAATTTGGACCACGAAACCAAATGCTATTCATTTCTAGATTGATATCTTTTGTGTCTCTTGTGGCCTCATCTGCAATATTCAGACTAGTGGGAATCCAGTGCCATTCAGGAATTTTGGTATTTTCCTGTATTTCACCTACTCTGTGTGTGATGAATGTCTTGAACATTCTTGGTTCAGATCTCAACCAACATAGAACAGTCCTCGAATCTGTCCAATAAAAAACTTGATTTATTTGAAGCGAGTGTTCTTTTTTTATCATGTTCGCCAACCTTGCACCCATCACTGCAGCCTGTAGTTCCAAACGAGGAATTGTCATTGGCTTCAGAGGGGCTACTTGCGTTCTAGACATAACAAGAGACACTTGAATTCTTTCATTTTTCTCAAATCGGAAATATCCCACGGCTGCAAATGCTTGCTCACTTGCATCGCAGAAAATGTGAAGTTGTAAATTGAAATCAGATGAAAAATTCATAGCATAACATCTTTGGATCTTCATTTCTTCAATGTTCTCAAACTCATCACTCCATCGTTTCCACCTTATATATTGATTTTCGGTCACTTCATCATCCCAACCTATACCACTCCTCCATATATCTTGTAGCAGGATGTTTGCTCTTATTACGAAGTGTGCAAGGAGTCCTAGGGGATCATAAAGAGACATAACGATCTTGAGTAGTTCCCTTTTCGTTGGCTTTTTTTTTCTTATGCATATCTCATTCATTCTATCGACTTGCAGAGAATATTTCAGATGGTCAGTAGAAGGAATCCACTTGAGTCCGAGAATTCTTTGGGATATGTTGTCACTTCCTTCCAGAAGTTTTTCATCACCTCTCAGTTCTTCTGGAATATTACTATAAACTTTCTTGGAATTACATACCCATCCTCTCAGTTCAAAACCTCCTTGTCTATGAATATGGATTACTTCATTCACCAGACGAATCTCTTCTTCTGTATAGACACTATCCAGATAATCATCCATATAATGTCTGTTGATAATTCCATCAACTGCCTGAGGATACTCCTTCTGGAATTCGGAAGCATTTCGATTTTTCACAAACTGTGCGGAAAAAGGTGAACAAACAGAACCAAAAATCATTACTTTCATTTCATAGGTAGCGATTTCTTCATTCTGGGAGTTTCTCCAGAGGAATCGTTGTGCAGCACGATCTTCTTTTCTTATCGTAATCTGGTGAAACATCTCACGAATATCTGCCGAAAAGGCTACATCTTTTTCTCTGAATTTGAAAATTACGCCGACTAGAGAATTGAACAAATCAGGACCTCTCAGCAAGAAATCATTTAGACACATATCATCTACTTTAGCTGCCGCATCGAAGACGAATCTTAACTTTCCTGGCTTGTTTATATTCACGACTCCAAAATGTGGCAAATACCATTTCCTTCTCGGTTCTTCTATCTCTTGATCCACTTTTTCTGCATAATTCTTGTCCAGATATTCCTGTATCTTTCGTCTATAAGCTTTCGAGAATTCCGAATCACGAGCCATTCTTTTTTCTATATACTCCAACCTCTGAATCGCTCTCTGTTTACTTTCTGGTAAAACCAATTCATCTTTCTTCCACAATAAACCACATTCCCATCGCTTTTCATTTTCGATCCTTCTTGTGACTGTTTCAATTATTTCTGTAGCCCTCTTATCTTCTGAACCCATTACCTTTCCTTCTGGAACCTTTACTCCAAATGCTTCTGTGGAAAAATATCTCTTCACTTCTTCATGCAATTCTTCATCACATCTTTTTTGATGAGAAATGTGCGGAACGATATTGTCATCCACCCTATTTCGGAATTGTCGTAGATTACCATGTGCTATCCAACCCAATTTCGTCCTTGACAATGCTGGAGAGTTTTTCGGACCTTCAATTACCTCTCGGGTCGTGATGAGTTCCCAATGGTCTTGACCTATCAGTAATTGTGGTTTAGCTTGGTACATACTTGCGAAATCTATTTGCTTCAGGTGACCCCATTTTTCTTTCATTCTCCTACCATCAACTGACTGTCTGGGTAGGTCCAAATTCTCCACAGTGTATACATTTTCCATCGTATAAAATGTAGATTTGGATTTGTCTGAAATTTCGAAACTCACTTTTCTTGACGTCATTTTTCTACATGTGTCTTTTTGAGTCCACTTCAAACTTAAATCTGTTACTTTCCCTGGAAGACATAGTTTGTCTGCCAATTCTTGATCTAGAAGAGTAACTGTTGAAGCTTCATCAAAGAGCGCGTAAACTTCAAGTTCCTCGCGAGAGGTTCTTATTATAACGGGTGTTATCTTCAATAGAATTTCCGAACAATATGATTTTGTGGTATGAGCAATTACTTCGAGGCCTGTTGTGTCTTCATTCTCAATACTTTTGTCAAATGCTTCATTATGAAGACTTTTGTGATGTACCTTTTCACAATTATTCACTCCACATTTTTTCTTAAATCGGCAAAATCTGATTCTATGAGATGTGTCCAAACAAGAGAAACATACACCTTTACTCTTTATTAAATTCCATTTATCATCTATAGAGAGATCTAAAAATGTTTTGCATTTATCTATTGAGTGTTCTTCTTTGCATAAAATACATTTTTGTATGGTTTTCCTCTTCTCTTGAGAAGTAACAAGAGTTGTTTTAAATCTCTCTTTATTGGATTGATTTGGAAATATCTTACCACATGTCTGGCTTTGTGAAGTCTTACCCACATTCATAGACTGAGCATAACTAGCTGCTTCTGACTTTCTCCATATCCACTCCTTGAATTCTCGAAGAGAGCTCCTTCCATTCGCATTCAGCACTTTCTCGCCCCATGAAAGCTGCATGTTGTATGGTAACTTTAGCAGAATCTCTTCGAGCAGTTGTGGACACTCCAAGTAGTTGCGCATATCCATTATTTCCAGGGTGACTACCAGATTAGAAACGTCTTCCGCAAAATGGGTTAAAGATCTGAAATCATTATTTTTCATTACAGGAAAATGCTTTGCTTTGTTGACAAGACTCTTCACAATCAAATCTGCTCGACCATATCTACTGATCAATATGTCGATAACTGATTTGACTGATGCAGTAGACAACAGTACTCCTTCAACTGAGCGTCTAGCATCCCCCTTCAGAGCTCTCCGCAATCTGCACATGTTTTCTTCATCTGAAAGACCTAAAAGTTTCGTTGTAGAAAGGAACTGTTGATAAAAACTTGGCCACTCAATAGTATCACCGGAAAACGTAGGAAGATCTTTCTCGATTGATTGTCTTGCGAGCAGCTGCCTAATGTCTGTGTCTGGCACAGGATGAGTGGAGCTTGGTACTAGGCTATTGTTTTTATTCGACCCTGTATCATCAAAATGACTGTTGTGGAACGACCTCTTACCTGTCACATTCTTGACACTTTCGTCGATGTCTTGTAACCACTCACGTACTTTCACTTTGGAATCCACTGAGCAAGATGTATCATCTTCAAATTGATGTAAATCACCTACCCCCAAGTCATATTCCTCATTCAGTCTAGCTTTTTCCAATGCCAACCTATTTTCAATCATTTGCTTCTCCATTTCTAGCTGTTTGGATAACACTTTAGCCATTTGTTCATCAGCTCTTACCTGGGCTTCGATCATTTTTCTTCTATAATTACTGTTAGCATGCGACGACCTGATAGATTTAGCTGCTGAATTCCTCTCAGATTGTCTACCATCACTTCTTTCATGTCTACTGGACGAGATTGCAGATATCTTGTCTTCCGCGGCGTCTCGTTCAGTATTGATGCTCTTTGCTTTATCCATGATAGCAATACGTTTGAGATTCTCACTTCTGGCTTTAGCAGTCTTGCTTCTTGTTTCCATTTGCCGTTCTGTAGGCTGAAGGACCAGCACAATGTATATAATTACCTAAAATGTCCTTATAAGGATCCGCTCGATGTGACCAGCACAATGTATATAATTACCTAAAATGTCCTTATAAGGATCCGCTCGATGTGACCAGCACAATGTTTATCGATTTTTTTCCTTTACAAATTAGATAACTACTCTTGTACCTTTTTTCGTTTCTATTTATTCTTCGCAAACTTCAACTCTTTTTTTTATCTTTCAAAAACATGTCATCTCTCAAAAAATACAATATACAAAGTCATTCGAAATCACTAACATTACAAATTCAAAATAAAACCCAACAGAAGTAAGAAACTGAAATGTCATTTATATAAACCAGAAAAAGTGTTGGTCCCAGTATGGAACCTTGTGGTACACCGTGCGAAATGGATTTACATGTGCTAGAACACCGTGCGAAATGGATTTACATGTGCTAGAATTTCCAGATATATAAACAACTTGCTTTCACCCACATAAGTAGGTTTTCATTAGTTCCAAACCTGTGCCACGAATACCATTATATTCTTGATTACCTAGTAGGAGCTCATGATTCACATAAAGTTAGAGCAGACACTATTATTGAATCAACTATAGCCATCAAAGCTTGGGTTCTTGATATGTTAGACCTAAATCCGAATTGATTTTTATTGAGTACTGAATGAGCATCTAAAAAAGTGATTGAAAGGTCTTTAATCAGTATCTCAAAAATTTTACCAAATATAGGAATCGGTCTATAGTTATCTGGAATATTTGGATCGTCCTTTTTAAATATGGGAATTACTTCACTTGTTTTAAAGATATCTGGAAATAGTCCTTCACACAACTATTGAAAAGAACAAGTCAATGGACCAGAAACAAGGTGTATGGTTTCTATAATCATTCTACTGTTTAAGTTGTATACATCGAAGCAAGCAGAGTTTTTTAATTTAGTTAGGTTTGGAAAGTGTAAAAAGGTAGGTTAGGGCATTAATGTTGTGGGAGGGTAGCGATTTCACAATTTGTTCAGCTTCATTTGTGAAAAATATGTTATATTCTTCAGGGGAAATGCTGGTAGAGGCTGGAAGGTTTTCATTTGATTATGGAGAAATAGCAACAACTTTGGTAGTTCAAATGGAATACCCTTCATTTTTTGGATTGGCCGTGAAGGGTTTATTTCAGCGATGTATCACACTTGGGGTCTAGCAGAAATGATTACAGAGATATAGCGTTCAAAATCGAGATTTTTCAACTTTTGGATTTTTTTTGTATCGAACTATTCATTATTGGTTGAAACGGCTTTCATGTCCCTATCCCGACTTTCTATTTACTATCTACTGACATTTAATTGAAACAGACACAGGGGTGATCAGAATTATGAATCTTGAACCATGCTGTATTTGTTACTAATAGGTGCAAACCATTGTATTCTAAATAGGGAGGAAAATCTAGTGAGCTGTACTGCTCACTACATTTTTTTGTCCTTATTTTGCAGACAATGGAAGGAACAATTTCGTATTGCCATGAAAACATAATGAATTATGGTCTGTTCTGAAAGTAGTACTGAAAAAATGTATTTCCTATGACCATATATGGGGCACTGTTTCGTTGTATTGAAAGTAGCTCATGTCATCATGGCTATGATATTTGATATAGAAAACGTTTAGATGTGCGGAATGTCATTTTTTACACTAGTGATGTAATTTACAATTTTATAACTATTTCATAATTCTGTAGGAATGTATTGCAATATAACCATGCCCATTCGGACTTCTCGCTATCAAATGATTGTCTAGAAAAATATATTCCCAAATGTTTGGTTTACTCGGTGTTATGGAGCTTTGCTGGAGATGCCAAACTCAAAGTGAGACAAGAACTCGGAGATTTCATCAGATCAGTCACCACGATTCCCTTGCCGCCCAATAATAACATGTCCATTATCGATTACGAAGTGATCATCGAGGGCGAATGGTCACCCTGGTCCAATAAAGTTCCGCAGATCGAAGTAGAGACGCACAAAGTTGCCTCTCCGGATATTGTGGTACCCACTTTGGATACTGTTCGACATGAGTCGCTGCTTTACACGTGGTTGGCTGAACATAAGCCTCTTGGTAAGAAATACAGGCAATATTTTACTGGTCTGAAAATACTGCTGTATTCCAAATTCGACTGTCATTTATGAATCTACTGATTCATCTGATTCACAAACTGAATATATAATATTCCATCAGAAAAATAAACAGAATATTACTCTCGATCTCCAAATTAAAAATGAAGTATTGAAAAGAACTACACAAATAAAGTATCTTGGTATTTGGATTGAAAACCCATTCCAACAATAATTAGATTCAGATATGTACAATAAACGTTTTTTAAGCATTATTGTTGCTATAAAGTTCATAGTGAGCGCCACAAAAAAATTCACATACGTTCATTTGAGCGCCGCTAATTCAGATCTCATTGAGATTTGAATACATCGTCGGTCGGTTTCGCATGACACGGCTCGAACTGAAACTTCTGCTGTCGGTTAAAAATCCTTGCCAAGCACCGTTTTTCATAAGTCACCGTCGGTCGTCACATACTGACAAAGTCTGTAATAGAGAAAAACAGGGTCCCGGCAGCCAGAGTGTTAACACTCCAGCAGAGTTAGTGGACCTACTGACAGTTAAAATCGGAATACAGCTTTAATAGCGAAGTAAATTCACTTATTTTGATTTTTTTACCAGTTCTGTGTGGTCCACCTGGGTCTGGAAAAACAATGACCTTATTCTCTGCATTGAGAGCATTGCCGGACATGGAAGTTGTTGGACTCAATTTCTCTTCAGCTACTACACCAGAATTGTTATTGAAAACCTTTGATCACTATTGTGAATACAGAAAGACACCCAATGGAGTTGTTTTGGCACCTATTCAGGTATTTGATTGTACATTTTTTATATAATTAAAATGATTTTTTTTTTTTTAAAAAACGGGTTTGGAAAAACTGTAACTATTTTGAACCAATCGGCTATTTACTGGGTTAGCTCATGTCAAACATGCACAATGTATTCAGAGAATTGAATAGAATATAATAGAATTTATTGATCTCACAATATTAAATAATGACATAAGGTAGGTCAAATATGAACAAATCGAAATTAAAAAGTCTAGCGGAAACTATATTATTTTCCTAGCAATAATTCAGGTTTCACAACTACAGTAACGTTATATACAAAGAGCATTTCAAGAAAATAGAAACGCACAGGTTCGTCTGAAATTGAGAACAAACAAAGTATATGTGGCTGTTTCAACAAAATTCAACAAGTATTTTCGTAATATGTTTTATCCGAATATAGACACATGTCAATGAGATAGTTTTCAGGTATCTCTTCAAATGTATGTATGCTCTAATCTTTGAAACATTGTGGGAAATTATGGGACTGAAAAATAGATGAAAGCGAAAAGGATGACAGTTGTATGTCTTCTTGTATTACAATTCTTGCAGTGTTTGTTTTTTTTTTTAATTCGTATTTGACAAATTCACGGACAATAATAAATAATACAATTGGAAACTGCGATGCAGTCAAAAAAATCATCCGGCTCTATCTCACAAAATTTTTTTTTAATAATTGATGGATTGATCGTATGAGGGGTAGCTAGGATTTGATGATGAAATATGATCCTATTTTTGTTATCAAATTATCATTATTATCAAGCATCCAACTATGTTTTGAGTTCAGATGATTTTATCAGTTGCTAGACTATGAAATTTCATCAACCAAGCGGCATATAATAATAATAATAATAATAATAAATGTCTTTATTGGATTCAAAGCTGTGATACATCGATTCATATACATATATAGATATAGATATAGATATATATCATCAATTTTATTTTCGTTTTGATTTAGCTGGGTAAATGGTTAGTTCTCTTCTGCGACGAAATAAACTTACCAGACATGGACAACTACGGCACCCAACGTGTGATAATGTTCCTCCGTCAAATAGTCGAACAGAAAGGTTTCTTCCGAGCCTCGGATCAAAGCTGGGTCGCCTTGGAGCGCATCCAGTTCGTCGGGGCTTGCAACCCCCCCACGGACCCGGGAAGAAAACCTCTTTCTCACAGATTCCTCAGACACGTTCCCGTCATCTACGTCGATTATCCCGGGGAAACTTCGCTGAAACAGATCTACGGTACCTTCACCAGGGCCATGTTGAGACTGGCACCCGGCCTGAAGGGCTACGCTGAGCCGTTGACCAACTCCATGGTCGAGTTTTACTTAGTGTCTCAAGATAGGTTCACGCAGGACATGCAGCCTCACTACGTGTATTCTCCTCGAGAAATGACCAGATGGGTTAGAGGAATTTGTGAAGCAATAAGGTACCTAATTTGATTGTTTATATTACAGGATGTGCGAAAAATTACCGATATAAATGTAACCACTAAGGTCCTTAGTTCTAGTATGTTTTCAAAAAATTTTAACAATTTGACGTAACAACTTTGTCACTTCTTGTGAAGAAGATTAAATCTTCGTCCACGATTAGTTTCACACACATTTTATGATGGTCAATTGAAAACTTGTTACTTTTTCAAATATCCCGTATTAAAGCGTCTGGCACTAAATTAATGCTAATCATTCATGGTGTCTAGCAATTTCTTGAATGAGATGAGATCAACAAGTCTAAAGTATTGTAAACGTGTGTTCTCTTCTTAAAAATCGAATATGTAGACGACTAAAACTACATACCACCTTGACGATCTTTTACCAATCTCCCAGAACTATTTTCCTTGAACCCAAAAGTATTTATATCTTCGATATGTTACATTTTTATTTCGAGTTGAAAAAAAGACATCACCTTTGAAAATGCCTTGTATTTATTAATGCAGATAGTCATTCACTTCACAAACAAGATTGTCCAATATTTCTCCCTCGGGGAGGCACTAGTGTGTTTGCTGGGTCAAGTGTCATGTCAGAGAGTAACATTGATTATGTACCTGTATTCTTTGATCATTCCAGATGTTTGAGTAAGAAGGCACAATACAATATTGGGACATTTCAATAACAATGAGGAACACCACTGATTTCTTAAAATCGTGAGCTCTATACCAAAAAACTACCAGTAAATATAATTTTAAATTTTTTCATTCATACTAGGAGAATAAAAAAAATAAAACACACACTTTCTGCGCCATTTGATATGGTATCGATTCATTATTTTGACTAGTGTGACACATCAGTCCCAACACGCCTATTGTCCTTGAGCTGACCAATCACACTGCAACACTGCAGAATGGCATGGTATTAGAAAGAGATAGCTTTAGTTCGGGAGTAATACGTCACGGCTCCATCTTCAAAACGCTATATTCCCTTCAATTTTTACTTATAAGGTTGATTGAACATTAAATGTAAATAATGAATCATCGATTGATGAACTGCCATTACATCAAACTCCATTCGCGATAGAAAATGAGTATGCCATCTAGCATTCAAAAACAAGCTGTTGAAGCGATCTGTTTACTTTGTTTATATTTCGTTTTTGGTATTGCCTATCCTTCACATTCATCAACAAACCACACGAGAAGTGTTTCTTATTTCTCTTAGGCGAGGCGACGTGTTCTTTCAACTTTTCATGTAATTTGATTTGTGGTTGACACCTTTGTATTGAATTTCACAAAAATATAGTCCAGAAATAAATAAGTAGTTTTATATATTTAGAACGGTTCAAGACGTTATTTTTTTTTTATTTTGCAATTGTTCATACCTCTAAGTGAATATTCAGTACTAATGAAGAACATGAATTGAAATCATTATGAAACAATAATGATCACTGATGTCATACAAATGAAAAATTGTAAATTTCGTTCTCGATATGTGGCAGAAACCAGAAAAATGTGGATTTTTCAAGGACTGTTCTTTTACAACTTTTCATGGACTATATGAGATTAGCATATAAATGGCGCAAAAAAAAGGAAAATAAAGAAACCATTGTCCAAGAGGTAATCTCTTGATTGGGATTGTTTGTTAGAGATTGTTTCTAAGTTTTGTTTGAATAAACCGTCATTTTGACAATTTGTCGCTAATGAGGGCTAACATTTTTATTCTCACCAGTTGGCGCTACTATAACATGAGGTCAATGTCAAAGTCAAAAATCCCAAAATTTGGCCGGATAGCACTAAAACCTATGGTCTGTTTTATCGAAAGCATTCGAAAAAAATTATCTAGAATATTTGAAAAAATAGAAAACCTCAAGTTATCGGAAGACGTGAGCCGTCTTACGTTTCTTTACTCTCAATATGGAACTCTACGACCAATTCTTACATTGACGGAGAAGAAGATATCATAAGAAAAGGCCAAATGATACGAAAATAAGAAGTATATTGATTGATTGATTGTCTTTATTACCCCAAGAAACATTTCTGTTTATGATAGGGATACATAAATACATATAAAAAAAATAATAATAAAGGGTTAACTATAATGAATTCCACTCAGTGGAAACGAATTAATATTGTGTCTTATAAGATTAAAGTTATATTTCATTCCTAAGTAATCAAATCATGCCACATATTTTTCTTTCAAATTGTCCTGAGCAAGTATTTTTTAAGATTGATTTTAAACCTTCTTGCATCATGTATATTTTTCAACTCATTCGGTAATGAATTGTATAAAATTATTCCATTGTGAAAAACAGATTGTTTGCCAATGTTTGACTTGAATGTATTTGCTATCAAGTAATTCAATTGTCTAGTCCCATAATTATGGACTGTATTGACTTCATTGAAAGCTAAATTTGATATTTTCAACTTATTCCTGGCAAAATGAATAAAGCAACATATTTTAAGTTTATATAACGAAATCAGGTTCAGAAAATGTCTTGGTTTGTATAAATTTATCGTTGGTTCTAGAAAATGTAGATGAAACATGCACTTAATTGATTTGTTTTGTAATTTCATTAGTGGTTTCAGACGTGAAATATTTGTACTCCCCCAAATAGAAATTAAATATTGCAAATTTGAATAAATGAGGCAAAAGTAAATACATTTCAAGTATTTTATGGGAATAATATGTATCAGTTCTACCAATCCTGACCTCATGTTTCGATGGCTCGGTTTGGTGGACAATAAATAATATTAGCCCTCATTGAAATTCAACGTGTTGATTATTCCATTCAAATTTTCAAATGATGTTGACCAATTATTTCCTCTTCAGACTTACTGAAATCGAATGACTAACAAACTGTTATAAAGAATTAGAGAAAAAAAATTCTCTAACTCCTCTGACATGGTCCTCCAAAATCTTCCATGTGGCATATCCTTGATATTTTTATGAGCTGATTTTTTCACAGGCCATTGGATAATCTCGCTGTCGAAGGTCTGGTCCGCCTGTGGGCGCACGAGGCGCTGCGTCTTTTCCAAGACAGACTCGTCGAAGATTCCGAAAGAAGGTGGACCAACGAAAACATCGATGCTGTCGCCTTGAAACACTTCCCTTCAGCCAACTGCGAAAAGGCCTTGGAAAGACCCATTCTCTACAGCAACTGGCTGTCCAAAGACTACACCCCGGTAGAAAGAGAACATCTCAGAGAGTATGTCAAAGCGAGGCTGAAGGTGTTCTATGAAGAGGAGCTCGATGTTCCCCTCGTCTTGTTCGATGAAGTACTCGATCACGTGTTGAGGATCGACAGGATCTTCAGACAACCACAAGGCCATTTGTTGCTGATAGGGGTTTCCGGTGCTGGGAAGACTACTTTGTCGAGATTCGTCGCGTGGATGAATGGCCTCTCGATTTTCCAGATAAAAGTGCACAATAAGTACACAGGGGAAGATTTCGATGAAGATTTGAGATCTGTGCTGAGGCGGAGCGGATGCAAAGATGAGAAAATCGCATTCATTTTAGATGAATCCAATATGTTGGATTCCAGTTTCTTGGAAAGAATGAATACTCTGTTGGCCAATGGCGAAGTTCCTGGACTATTTGAAGGGGACGAGTATACAACGTTGATGACTCAGTGCAAGGAAGGTGCCCAAAGAGAAGGTATCTACATATTGATATGCAGTTTCTATTTGTAAAATGAAATAAGGTTTTGCCTTTAGCAGATGTCAAATTTTTCAAAATGATTGGTGCTATTTCCAGTGCTTACATTCATCATTATGACTTGAATGTCGTACAAGATTTCATCGTACAAGCATTTTTTAACCAAGATTTATGCTCATAATTTCATCGTTGCTCCCCCAAAAAAGAATTGAAATAAAAACTGTTGATTAGTGACCATGCAGGATGATTGCAGCATCCGTTGCTAAGGGGTTTTTATGGTTTTTGGCTAGTCATTTGCTATGTTTATTGAAAATGCTTCATGTTGAAATAGCAGCTCTTACAGCACCAAAATATCAAATGTATTAAACGACCTCTACGAAGTTTGTGAATGCATTGAGTACAAAGAATAACTCGCAAAACCATTTTAGAAGATGCAAGTAGGTGCAGAATTATGCACTGCTAATGAGACATTAAGTGATTGGTGCTTGAAAATGTCCTTTTATTGATCAATAAATGATATATTGAACTATTATCTTCTACCTGAGCTAAACAATTAATTTCATGTTGAATTATTAGATGAGCTGAAAAGTTTCAATTTCGAAATATTATTTACTTTCATTTCATGTTTCCTTGATAACAATATTGTTTATACAAAAGCCAGATATAATTTATCTTGCAGATGAGCTTTGGGACTGTTCAAATACTTATTTTTATTAATTTTAGGTTTGATGTTGGATTCAAATGATGAACTTTACAAATGGTTCACACAACAGGTTATGCGTAATCTACACGTAGTTTTCACAATGAATCCCTCTACCGATGGATTGAAAGATAGAGCCGCTACATCCCCAGCACTATTCAACAGATGTGTCTTGAATTGGTTCGGAGATTGGTCGGATGGTGCATTGTTCCAGGTAAATAATAATAATATGTCAGATTCAACCATTCACAGTAACTTGTATATCACATTGAATTTTCCCTCAGATGATTCAATTTCAATTTTAAATAAATGTCAGATGAATTTTCATAAAATAAGTTCGGATCTCTCCAGTTTTATGTCCACGCTGTACAGAATGGCGACCGATAAAGTCCAAGTCGTTTTCATTTTCGAATTGAAGCAATTTCTAATTTTCGGGGCGGCAAACTGTGACGTACATTCTGAATCTAGTCTGAAAATAGCTGATAGTGAAGAATATACCTACCGAATAGCTAACGAATGAAAAACGATTGAAAAAAATAGAAGAAGTAAAACTGGTAAACAAAATCATACATAACCACAAATGCACTTGGAGCAGGAATGCAGAAGGTAGTTGGCTTCATTCTGACAGATTATTAAATCAATGAATCACTGTTGGCTACATTCAATGATACGATCCTTCCTGATTTATTGCCATCGGTCAGAACAGAATGAAGCCGACACGCATGGCTCCTTCCTCTTGTTGTACCTGTCAGTACTTTGAGTGGTGTGGACGGACTGGAAGTATTAGGCGCTGTTGCAAGATATAATCTGCAACTTTCCTAGAAAATAGATTCGTTTTATTAGAAACGAATTCATTGGCAAAAATTGACTGACAACTTATGAATAACATATTGTAATATAACGATAGTGAAAAATTATAGATTATATCGCAAAATATATCATAATTTATCTTTAGTAGTAATCAACTTCATTCAGCCAATGAGAAATTTATGGGAATTATTCATAATATTTGACAAAGTAGGATTATATCCAATTGCTGTTATGATATAGTTATTATGCATTCAAAGAACAATTTCCGGAAATCTGGACATATTGATGATGTCGGCAACGTCGTACTGGCACAGGGAATTGTATTTTAACTCTGTGTAAATATGGATTTTCAGAAAGTACGTCATGGGAATGGTGGAGGAGCCAAGTTCCTCTCATTTCTTTTTTTCTGAAGTGAAACATGATGTTACGAAAAAAAGAAAAAATACGTATATATTAATTTTTTACAAACACAGTGAGATAAAAACCTCAATATAGAAAACTTCCCCTATCCCCAGTAGGATTTCAAGTTGCTTCGGATGTATTTCAAACATTTCAAAATATAGATGGATGAGGCAGTAACAATTTCTCTCTTATAAATATTGGTTTGCAACTATCTGGATAGTCCATATCAAAGATTAATCTCACGATACGTTTCTAGCCTATAAACACTACCAAAATCTCTACCCCATCCCCATGATATTGTGTTGAAAGCAATATGTCAGTGTACCATTGCATAATAAATGCTCAATAAACACTCCTTGGCTACACATGTTTCCATCTGCTTAATTGCGAAGAATGCTGAATTCAGTTTCTTGTATAGATGCCCAGTCTAACCTCCCATCTAAAAAAAACCGTTTATTGCCCAAACAGGTGAGGCACCCAATTACAGGACATGCAAGACGAATACATTTTATATTCATACATTCATCTTGGTACATTTTACACAAAACTTTTATGATTGATTACTGAAGGATATATTTCTCAGGTAATTTTTATCCTATTTTAGTTTTAAAATCAGTATCATGTGATCCATTTTGTCGAAGGCCTTCGAGAAATCTGTATATATCATGTCGACTTGAGACTGCGCGTCAATGGCATCGCAGGTCATTTGTGTGAAACACATCAAGTTTGTAATGATTGATCGTTTAGTTATAAACCCATGTTGCTCTAATATTATTTGATTGGTCATTTTTGGAAACAATCTATTATATACACAGATTTCGAAGGCCTTCGCAAAATTTGACAATAAGGTGATTGGCCTATAGTTAGTTATATCATTTAGTGAACCATTTTTGAAAATTGGACAAATTTCATATGTTTTCCAGACATCAGGAAGATGATCCTAGAGCGATATTAAAAGTAATCTGCAGAGGTCTGGCTAAATAAAACATATGCACAATCTTTGAGAAAAAAGCCGTCGAGCACTTCATTTTCGCTAAGATCTCTTACAGATACTTGTAGACTATTTATCAGAGAATCTACAGATTAATCTACATTATCAATAGGGTTATTAAATTCAACATTATTTAAATGAAGTAAACCAGGAATTCTTGAAGAATCTTTTATTTACAACCATATACGTAATGTTGTCATTACCAACGCCATTGAAGGTTGGGAAGTGTCAATAATTCAGATATGTTCAGAACGAAACATAGATTAATTAATTTTGATCGAAATATGATGATTGTAAATAAAGTAGTAGACAAACCTCGGTAGGAAGTTTCATTCCTGTCCCACGACATCACTTCCCACCTCGGTGTGTAATATACTATTTTGCTGTGAATGAACGACCAGAAGACGGATCAGACTTTATAGACTTCTCTAGAAAGGTTCCCACGAATTTTACATCTTGCAACATGACAAATGCATTCAAGTCTAACAGTGGTGAACAATCGGTATTTCACAATGAAAATCGCAGGTCGGCAAGGAGTTCACGAACCGCCTGGACCTCGACAAGCCCACGTGGAGATGCCCGGACTTCTTCCCCGCTTCGTGCAACCGCCTGCCGGCCACGCCCAATCACCGCGAGGCCGTCATCAACGCGTGCGTGTACGTGCACCAGACGCTGCACAAGGCCAACGGGCGGCTGGCGAAGCGCGGCGGTCGCACCACCGCCATCACGCCCAGGCACTATCTCGACTTCATCCACCACTTCGTCAAGCTGCACAACGAGAAGCGGTCCGATTTGGAGGAGCAGCAGCTGCACCTGAACGTCGGGTTGAGCAAGATCGCGGAAACGGTGGAGCAGGTGGAGGAGATGCAGAAGAGTATGTTTATTAATTTTATTGATACTAATATTGTTGAGAAATTAATTTATTTCAAATGGTGATATCTTGAGAAGAGACAGCGGACTGTACTTATGTTGATTTGATCGGTGAATTGCTCGGTTGAATTTATATACCTTGCTGCTTTCCCTGGCCGGCCGGCTAGTATCAAAGACTGTAGTATCTGTGAATGCTTGGATTGTAGAATATTCACTATTCTGTCACCACGATGATGTAAAATTCGCACTTCGCGCACCTCGCGAACTTTCTTGAGGGTTTTTGGTAGGTATGTAGGTTGAGGTTTTTTCGGTAGGTAGGTAATAATAATCAGAAGTGTTGAGAGAGAGTTTGTTTGTTCGTTTTTTCTTGTTTGTTTGTCTGTATTGAATAGGTTCCGAAAGTACTGTACCGATTTGAAGAATTCTTCCACTATTATCAATCCGACATTATCCCTGATGAACATAGGCTACTATTTACCGCGGGAAAATGCTTCATTCCTACGGGAAAACGGGTAATAGGACAACGGGTAGTTTTATTATCCTTTCGTACTTATCTTTCTCACATACAATTGGACGCGAGTATCGAATATTCCCTCGGTTTCTTGCGGGAGAGAGAAGGACACATGACCTCTCACTCAATTTGGTTTCGTCTCCGTGGCGAATTTTTTACATTCCCTTGCGATAATAACTTGTTATATTTCTCCTTACCATTGTCGATCTGAATGGAAATGCTATAGTCAGTAGGTGAGAGGTATCCTCTAATGTAGTTCGACAATATTCATTGGAGAAAAATTCACAATTTCAAATAATTTATTGCCATCAGAGTGCAATCGCCACTTGCTGAATTCTACCTACTATTATAGGATTCATGAACTAGAAAAAACTCATCATTTGAAGAAATATTACATGTATATTTCATCAAGACAAATTCAATATAGACTAATTTCAGTTGAATAATTGGCCTTGCAGATGAATAACAAATATTCTACCAGAAAGGTATGGAATGTGAATATTTTCAATTAACCCTGATGATTAAGTTGCATGTTATTTAATACTACAACGTTTCTATCTCACCTAGGATTGTATTTCTTCCATGAGAATTTTCTTTCAAGCAATAATTATTTCAATGTTGAAGCTGGAAGATATATTTCTTATAATTTAAAAGTTATTTTTTTATTTCCATTTTCGATACCGTAACATTATTTTTTCGTAGTCGTCCACCCTTATTGGAAACTCTAACTGCAATGAATGAAAACAAAATCGAAGTTTAGAACGCTGCTATCTGTAGAGTAAGGAAGCGTTTTTAGAAACATGTTTATAAGGAGAAAAGTCTATTCTGACCTGAAAAATGAGCTCCTGAAATTTTGATTCTGACTTTTGTAACATCCTGTATCCTGTATATTAGTCTGACTTAATTAATTTATTTACTAACTAGGTTTTTTAGTTCAGGTGTGAACCACACTGGGAACTTTGATGTTTTCAATGTTTTTGCTGGTACATATAGATCGAAGATCGATTGCATTATAAATTATATCATAGAATATATAGCCTGCTGAGTTGATGTTCCTAGAATTATGTAAGGCACTCCAGTGAGCCATTCCCAATACTCCTTATTACCTCTATGATAAAATAACCTTCAGAAGTCATATACATAACCTGAACGTCCGTTTCAGAGGCTTACTGTCTCCTCCAAATCACTTTCATGAATTCTTCAAAAGGTCTTTTTGCCATATATGTATATTGTATACAATCGACTCCCAACCCTACTCAAAGCTAATTTGAAACAAATTTTATTTGAGCAACAGTGTGCCTTCTATGGAAACTCTTATTCTGGACTGGTCTAACGTAAAAACGGTATGCTCAATGCTCAGTGGATTGAATGATTTCATCGAGAATCATATTATAGTTACGTGATATAAAAAAAACTATAGCAAACAATCGCCTCTATATCGTCTTTGAGTTATATAATCAAGGATATCGTTTATTTCTATTACATTTCCTCACAATGACAAAGAACAAATTATAGACGATTATTTTCAAACAGGTCTGTGCATGTATGTTGATATATTAATTTGGGTTCAACTTGAGTTGGGCATTGGCACTGCCTTACTTTCTTTTTTTGTGTAAACTACTATTGATTTTTTTTTTTTGAATATTATTATTCTTTTGGTATCAACATTGATATATTTTATAATACCTACAGCATAATTATCATAGGCACTAAGGATGTGATATTATGATATGATTCACCTACTCTATTCAATAAATAATTGTAGTAACAACTTTATAGTAACAAGCATAGCGCATTAATTTTATTTCACTTCATTATGTTTATATAGTACATAAGTTTCTAATGGTTGAGTGTAAGAGCAAGGCTACAGTGCTTTGGAGTGTAGATTTGAACTTTGCCATTTGGATTCAAAACTACATTCTTATGGTATATGTATATGAATCGATGTATTAAAGCTTTGAATCCAATTAAGACATTTATTATTATTATTATATTTCAGGTTTGGCGGTGAAGTCCCAGGAGTTGCGTGCCAAGAACGAGGCGGCGAACGCGAAGTTGAAGCAGATGGTGAAGGACCAGCAGGAGGCTGAGAAGAAGAAGGTGCAGAGTCAGGAGATCCAGCAACAGCTGGCGGAGCAAACGGTGCATATCGAGCAGAAACGGTTTGAGGTTATGGCTGATTTGGAGCAAGTCGAACCTGCCGTTATTGATGCACAAACTGGTATGATCTTTCATTTTCCCTTTTTGGATATTCAATCTTGCTCACGTTTAATATTTTTTAAGCTGTGAAGTCGATAAAGAAGCAACAGTTGGTAGAAATTCGTACAATGTCGAATCCTCCAGCTGTCGTCAAATTAGCGTTAGAGTCCATTTGTTTGTTACTTGGCGAGAATGCTAGCGACTGGAAATCTATTCGAGCTGTGATAATGCGTGATAATTTCATCAATACTGTGGTCAACAATTTCAACACTGAAGACATCAGGTATGCAAATGATCCATTTGTTCATTTTCTGAATCAAAACAGGTTACTTTGCTATCAGTTTCTCTTCATGCTAGACGCAAACATAGACGTGAAATGGCATTACATAATATTAAAATATTATGAAACTGCAGATGATAACATACTGTTGAATCTAACCCTTATATTCCCTCAAAGTGATTCATTTCATTCTGGTAATGTTGAGTATTCGGCTATAATTCCTTTGAAGAACGTTGAACATCATCCTTTTTATCGTGAACCGTGCCATTCTACAAGTTTTATTCATGTTATCATGCAGTTTCAATTATTAAAATTTGTCTGAAATTGAAAGTTGATGAAGTTACTGCAATTTCATTTTAATTTTCTGCCCAAATACATATGGGATGGTGAAACAACTCATTCTTACAAAACTAGAAAATATTAATTTTTACCTACCAAGACAGGTGATCAAAATAAGGCTTTGCGGCATAAACACCGGCTGGCGCCACTCTCGAAGTGCTTTTACCTAAGTTTATTCAAAATTATGACCGACAAGAAGGCCGAGATGATACTTTCAGTTGTCCTTCACTGTCATACACAGTGCGCACCATATGTGACAGATAAATTAATTTTCTAAAACTCTGAAACGTCTATTAATATTTTTGATAATACACTGTGACATATAAAAATTCCCCTCCTTCACCCCTCTTAACTTCACTCCCCCATCCCCAAATTTTTTGTAATGAAAAAGGGGGTTGAGTGCGCATAAACGAAATTCAAAAAATATATATGGCTGTATAGACAGTTGAAGAGACTTCAAACCTCAACCTGTATCATTTAAAAAAAATCGGGGTGTGATTGTCACGGTGAGGGGGGGTGAAGGGAGGGGAATTTTTTTATGTCACAGAGTGTGAATCCTTAAAATTTTTCTGTCGAGGTCTAGAGTCCGACCACGATAACTTTGGGACAGCACGTGGTCGCGTATGTATTGAATATGCATATGCGTTGCCTCACATGCTGTCCCAAAGTTAACGTGGTCGGACTCTACATCTCAAAACAAGGACTATTGAAGAGAGGTTACACCACCTTCCATTCATCATGCATACTTAAATCATAATTGTTCATCAATTTGTTGAAAGTTCACAAATATTACGAGATTTGGTATAGGTATTGAAATATTTATCTTATAATATTCTAATTTTATTATATAGCGATGAAGTGCGAGAAAAAATGAAGAGCCGATACATGAGTAACCCAGATTACAACTTCGAGAAAGTCAATCATGCCAGTAATGCTTGTGGACCCCTTGTCAAATGGGCAATGGCGCAAATCCTATACGCTGACATGTTGAAAAAAGTAGAACCACTGCGAGATGAACTAAATTCTTTGGAAAAACAAGCAGAAACCAATCAAAAACGTGGAGACGAAATCAAAAACTTGATAAGCCAGTTAGAGCACAGCATAGCTTCCTACAAGGAAGAATACGCTCAGCTGATCGCGCAAGCACAAGCAATCAAAACAGACTTGGAAAACGTACAAGCTAAAGTCGACAGGTCGATCGCCTTGTTAAAGTCGCTCGTGATAGAAAGAGAGAGATGGGAAGCTACCAGCGAAACGTTCAGATCGCAGATGTCCACCATCATCGGCGATGTTCTCCTCTCCGCTGCTTTCATCGCTTACGGGGGCTACTTCGACCAGCACTATCGTCAGAATTTGTTCACCACGTGGAGTCAGCATTTGACTCAAGCCAGCATTCAGTATAGGGCGGATATAGCGAGAACGGAATATCTCTCCAACCCTGATGAGAGGCTCAGATGGCAAGCAAATGCGCTTCCCGCTGATGATTTATGTACAGAAAATGCAATAATGTTGAAGAGATTCAACAGATATCCTCTGATAATCGATCCATCAGGACAAGCTACCGAATTCATCATGAACGAATTCAAGGATAAAAAAATTACCAAAACTAGTTTTCTCGATGATTCGTTCAGGAAGAATTTGGAATCCGCGCTGCGTTTCGGAAATCCGCTTCTTGTCCAGGACGTGGAAAATTACGATGCAATTCTGAATCCGGTTTTGAACAGGGAATTGCGGAGGACAGGAGGACGTGTTTTGATCACCTTGGGTGATCAGGATATTGACTTGTCGCCTTCGTTTGTGATTTTCTTGTCCACCAGAGATCCTACCGTCGAATTCCCACCTGACATTTGTTCCCGTGTTACTTTCGTTAACTTCACCGTCACTAGAAGCTCCTTGCAGAGTCAGTGCTTGAACCAAGTTCTCAAGGCCGAGAGACCGGATATTGATGCCAAACGCTCAGATCTTCTGAAACTGCAAGGGGAGTTCCACTTGAGATTGAGGCAGTTAGAGAAGTCCCTGTTGCAAGCACTAAACGACGCTAAGGGTAAGATTTTGGATGATGATAGTGTCATAACGACTTTGGAGACGCTCAAACGCGAAGCAGCCGAAATTGGACAGAAAGTCGAGGAAACCGATAAGGTTATATCTGAGATAGAAACTGTTTCTCAACAGTATTTGCCATTGTCCCAAGCATGCAGTAACACGTACTTCACTATGGACAGTCTCAACCAAGTACATTTTCTTTATCAGTATTCGCTCAAGATGTTCCTGGATGTATTCGGAAGTGTTTTACATAACAATACGAAAATCGATGGGATCACAGACTATGAAGCCAGATTGAAAGTCATCACTTCAGATTTATTCTCTGTAAGTATTATTATGGATTTGAATATTTTCAGTATGTCGAAATATCGAGATTATACAAGTTGTTTATTGAATCGATACATATAGTGTTATTAGGAAAGGATGGCATTTGGCAGTATTGTGATAGCCGCATAGTCTCTTGCGATGTTGCTATCCAATTGCCCTATGTGTAATCATTCGATAAACGACCTGTATAGAAAACTCGGAAGTACCTCCATTACTATTGAAAAATGTAATTATCCGCAGTACAGGAGACCGCGATTGATTAATAAATCATGAGAAAGTATAATGTCAATAATCCTAAATACCACACATGGATAATTGGATGAAATGGCAAATGGTGGGGATAAGTGCGGAATCATTGCCCTAGAATTTTTATATTTGATAATTCCATTCAATATATCTAAAAAATCGCGGTTTTTTAACTGTGTATATGTGCAATAATAAATTAGCTGTCACGTGTTCCAACATAGTTATACGTCATTGTGTAATGCTCTTAATCTTCCTAAGACTAGCCAGAACACCACTGGACCAAGTTTTCAGGGACTCGTGAAATGTCAGGGTATAATATTTAATCGTTACTGACTTCTTTACAGATTTGACACTTCCGAGAAGTTGTCATAAAAAATTGTTTTCGAAATGAATGAGATGTTATTGAAAAAATCCTATTTTCCACAGAGGAGTTTGCAAAAAAATCTCTCATTTGACAAGTTACTCTGAGGTCTATTCATACATACAACAATTTCTGATAATAGTCTCTAGGCTTCAGATTATGATTGGAAACGTTTGGTCATTAAAAAAATATTCTTCAGTAGAAATTCACAAATTCTATCGAATTTTTCTAAAACCACTTCATAAAATACAGCCATATTCTGACTACTTGTCGAGCTTATATACATTTGATTCAAAGAAAATGAATGCCATAAAAATAATATATAAAATATATAATTAACTTTTATTGATTTTTGTTCTTGTATCAGAATTTCCTACTGAATAATCTTAATTCATGCAATACCAACCATGATCATAATATGGTAATTCATTGTGTCAATATGTCACATACATATGTTTATATTCATCATCTTTTGAAAAATACGTCACTATAAATAATTCTCTTTGTATAAGTAGACTTATATCCAGTATACTATCCAACCGACACTTGGGCATAACGATTCTTCGACGGTCTTTCAGGTTGTGTATGAACGAGTGGCAAGAGGTATGATCCACAATGATCGCCTCACATTTGCGATACTGCTTTGCCGGATTCACCTCAAAGGAGTACTGAATGAACAGAATCTCGATCAGGAATTCAGTTTCTTCCTCAGGTGCAAAGAAGGAGTTTTCAGTAATTCTAATGATCTATCGGTTGAGGGTTTGAACAATGATCAACAAGAAGCTGTAACTAGACTTTCGTCGAGACTTCCAGCATTCAGAAAATTAGCGGAGAAGATAAGAGATATGCCTGAGTTTGGTGCTTGGTTGCAGCAGAGTACTCCAGAACAGGCTGTTCCCCAACTTTGGATTGAAGAAAAGCAACTCAGTGCAATAGGTAAGTAACATGTTAGTTGATTTTTTCTTCGTTCTCCGGTGTAATAAAGAGTGAGATGTTCATAATATGCAAGGGTAGCAGCTATAGCGTTTTTCACTCGTCGCACTAGCTCGAACTTTTGGCAAAAGAGCATTTCAAGAGCGAACTTTTGTCGAGAAATGATTTCCATTGGCTTTCAAACTTGCTCGATGCTCGTTCAAAGTTCGAGTTTTCAGCCGTGCTTGGGCGACGGTGCGGTACACTTGACCTTGAATATTCGAGTGGAAAAATGAAATTTGAATAACTATGAATTTCTCATTGAAGTTTATCACAATAATTTCGTTATTGTTACGAAACAGCGTTTATGGATGATTCAAAATTACCTAAAAATTGAAGAAAGCTATTCAGATATGCAGGTATTAAACATATTTGATTGTTCATTCAGTAAAGATGGAAAATACTAATTTCGTAAACAACACTTCAATTCTAAATCACTATTGTCGATCGACATTCAATTATACATCATTGACAATGAACATCAATGGGACTGTTTCTGGCAGTGTTGACAGAGAAACCACAAGAGGTGGATGACTTCAGTTTATGTGGACCAGCTAAACCAAAAGTGTATTTTCAATATTTCAACCTTTCGATTGACAAAACAATTATTCTGAAATTTCTGATGACAAGAAGGTCCCACCAACTCTCGATTTCTATTCCACTGCTCTGTGCTGGAACTGCACTTTACGGAGGAACCGAGCCAGTGCCACTCGTACTTGCTCTGATCTTCCAAATAGTGCGGTTCCAGCATAGAGCAGTGGAATAGAAATCGAGGGTTGGTGCCACTATCTTGTCCTTGTCGTCAGAAATGTCAGAATTGCTTTGTCATTCAAAAAGTTGAATATTGATAGCAGATTGATAGTACGTACATTTGGTTTCGCTGGGCCACATAAAAGTCTCTTGTGGTTTCTCTGTGAGCACTGCCAGCAACAGTCTTATGAATAAAGGTGTTTTCTACATTGTCAATGATGTTCAATTGAAGTGATTTAGCATTAAATTGTCGTTTATAAAGGTGATATTTTTCATTATTACTGAATCAACAATTTATTTATGTTTCCAATACCTGCACATCTGAATAGATCCCTATAACTTCAAAGTGATATTGAATTTTTGATAAATGCTACTCCATAACGAAGTACTCCTGTATCTCAATCATCATCTCGGAAATTATTGCAATAAATTTCAATGAGACATTCACGATCATTCGAATTTAAAATATTTTCCCACTCGAATATTTCATGTAATGTGTATCGCACCGTCCTACAAGCACAGTTCTAAACACTCGAACTTTGAGCGAGCAAAGAGCTAGTTTGAAAGCCAGTGGAAATCATTACTCGACTGAAGTTCACTCTTGAAATTCTTAGTGGACCACGCAAAACGCGCTCAGTGACAAAAAAATTCTAGCTAGTGCGACGAGTGGAAAACGCCATGACTAATACCATCCAGTGACCCTAGGTGCGACTAGCTGAACATTGATTGGCGACAAGTGACGTTTGAATATGATTTATGATGCCCATTCAGTTCTCATTCAGGTCACAATAAATTGAAAAAAATTGAATTTCAATGTTAAAATTCTAAGGACTACTCATTGGTTCGTTTTTCAGGCACTGCAATGTACCAACTCCTCGTCATACAGGCTTTCAGACCAGACCGCGTAATCGCAGCCGCCCAGAATTTCGTCTCAATCGTCCTAGGAAACGAATTCATGTACCAAGCCGAAAAAGAATTGGACCTGGCGGCTTGCGTGGAAAAGGAAATCAGATCGAACGTGCCGGCTCTCTTGTGCTCTGTCCCCGGTTTCGATGCGTCAGGTAAGGTCATATAATTTTTGCTCATAACGGGGATTATTAAAAAATGATAACATGTTTACGGTACCAGCATTATTCATTTATGAAGCTATTAAATTCCGGACCACACATAAGTATCACTTCAGCAGTCACAAAACGAATCATGAATATAGTGCGAGACTAAAAAACACCTATTATAGAAAATAACACGTCGTCCCACCTGACGTCAACAACTTGAACACTTCTAAGCAATTTGTTTTAATAAATGTGACCAATAAGTACAAACAAAAAACGAATGAAAACAGATCGCTTTGACAGCTTTCATGAACTTCGAGAGGTGGCGTACGCTTATTTTCTATCGCGAATAGTTACCCAATTCACAAAAAATGTATTTTCATAAAAAGTCCACTTTATAATTCAATAAAATTCTATAACAATCTTTCGCTTGAGATAAAGGCTATGCAAAATACCAAAATATTCCTTGGCTCCGTACGTAATTACTCACTGATCATGGAGCCGTACTCAGTGATATTTTTAATAAGTGATTACACAAGGTGTTCCTTAAAGACATGCTAATATTTAAGGCCGTGATTATTTGACTCCTATGGCTCCCTATGAATGTATGTCCTAATAGTCTTAACTTCTGAGATACAGGGTGATTCAGTTTTGATAAAAAATCAGTTTTTTATAATAAGTCGTAATAATAATAACTAATGATAATTTTATTGATCTTAGAAACACAGAGTTTATAGACACGACACTTAATTTGAGATCAGTTACCTACAAGAGTTAAGTTCATAAAATTACCTCAATAAAGTTCATAAAATCAAAATATAAAATACAAATACAGATACATGCTAAAATTCTTTGGCGTTACCAAAATTGAATATCTTGTCTAAAAGGAAATAATAAATTCAATGTACAAGTTTGACAAGTTCGACAATCATTAAAGTTCAGAAAATATGTATAGACAAAGTCTTTTACGGCACTCCAACAGCATCCCTATTTCTCACAACTATTTCAAAAAATTCATGAATGTCACACAGTGGGTTTTTAATTAAAATATGCTTCATGAACTCCTTGAATTTTTTTATTGTCTTCTCTCGGAAATCAGTTGGCAGTGTATTATATAGATGTCTATATCATCTGTTTTTTTTTCAGTCTATTTGCTTTCAGCACACGGTCACATTTGTTTCTTGTGTTATATTGGTGCACATCTGTGTGAGTGAAATATTTTTCCAAAGTCAATCGAATATTCAATAGATTTTCGTAGACAATAATTGAATATTATAGAGTCATTACTTTGAGATTCTTGAATAGTGGTCTGCATGTTTCATCAAGTTTAGCTGATGCTATACTTCTTATGGAAAATTTTTGTAGCACACATACTCTTTCTAAATGAATTTTTGATGCACAACCTCAAGATATCATTCTATACCTAAGAACTGAATGAAATATTGAATGATGAGTCATAAGAGCTGTACAAAGGTTCCCAGAGTTTTTATTCAGTCTGATTGCGTATGTTGACCTACTTAGTGTGGTACAAAGATTATTTTTATGTGGTCTATCCAGGTTGAATTTGTAAAAATTTGCACACCCAAGAATTTAACAGCTGTTCTATTTGATCCATGTTTCTCGTTTCAAAAGTTAATGTTTTAGTTTTTTAATCATTCAGTATAAGCTTATTTGCAGTGAACCAATAGCTTGCTTTCTCTACTACTATATACAAAATTTTCTGAGGAGTTATAGCAGCAGTTATAGGCTATTGTGAGTCAGGCTGGTCAATCTTGAATAATCTTCTTATCGACTTTGAGGAGTAGTGTCAAAATTCAAACTATTTTTGCCAGTGACGCGCAAATGTGTACGTGAACTACTTTTCAATGAAACCTGGAACATCATAGGTCGGTTTACACCAAACAAACCTTGTACGACTTGTTTATGCACACAACTGTGAATGTATTCTATGCATAAAGGTTCATTTTCTGATGTACAAAAATGTCATTTTCTCTATCAGTGGCGCCGTTACGGAGATATTATTGTTTATATATTAGTTGAAAGTGAGCAGCGAAGGGAAATTTCCAAATTTCATACAATGCTATGCAATACCATTCAATTCAGTACAAAGAATATCCTCTTGTTGATACTCGATAGTAGAGTGACTTTATAAAACAGAGTGGCGACAATAGTGATGTACTTTTTGATTAGTTCTGCTCTCTCCATTCAGTTCTACTCATTTTATTTCAGTTTGTCAACGCTTTGTCACTGTTTCTCTCACGTCGATCTTGGATATTCTATCCGTCTTTTGGGACTCGTAAGTCAGATTATTTAGACGATGAACTGTAAATATCAAATATCTAAACCAAACATCAGGAGGGCACTTCAAAGGCGCAAATTCATTACTGCATGTGAGATACCCTTCAGAGTTTTAGCTATTCACTGACTTGACCACGAATTACATTCCGGAAACGGCTGCCATTTTGAGGTTTATTGTCGCCACTCCATTCAATCTACTCACTCGATTCGATAGGATGCTCCGTTAAAAACGTAACCAGACTTCAAATTTTGATGTAAATACAGGGTGGTTCAAGATTCCGAATTCTGATCACCCTGTATCTGGTCCAATTAATTGTCAGTAGATAGTAAATCAATAGTTGAGATAGGAACATCAAAGCTGTTTTGACCAATAATGAATAGTTCCTACACTAAAAAAATCCTTAAATTGAAATATCACGATTTTGAACACCCTCTATTCCTGTAATCATTTGCGCTAGACCCCAAGTGTGATCCATTGATGAAATCAGCTCTTCAGGCAGAATAAAAAAATGCAGTGAAATACAGGGTATTCTATCAAAGTTGTTTCTACTTTTGGATAGAAGCGGCAACATCGCAGCGCTGAAATATTTTAGAACGATTTCCCCTACGAAAATGGAGTTGCGTGTTCCAGTGTTTTTCATAATCCGGTTCTGGCGACCTACAGAGCCTCTGTTTCGTTTTCAAATAGTTACCCTGCATATCTATCTATCAGGTCGGGTCGATGATCTCGCCGCCGAGCTCAACAAGCAGATATCGAGCATCGCCATCGGGTCGGCTGAGGGCTTCAATCAGGCCGACAGGGCTATTAATATGGCCTGCAAGACTGGCAGATGGGTGATGCTGAAGAACGTGCATTTGGCTCCACAATGGCTGGTTCAGCTCGAGAAGAAGCTTCATTCCCTACAGCCGCATGCTTCGTTCAGATTGTTTCTCACGATGGAGATCAATCCCAAATTGCCCGTGAACCTACTTAGGGCTGGAAGGATATTCGTTTACGAACCACCGCCTGGTATTCGGGCCAACTTGCTCAGAACCTTCAGTACGGTGAGTGTGATTGAAGTATTCATTTTGACTTCCTACTCATTGATGGAAAATTGTTTTATTTACAACCATATATGTAATGTTGTCATTACTAACGTCATTGAAGGTTGGGAAGTGTCACATTACACACATCTACTTCCCGCCCCTCACTACTTCCCGCCTTCACTTCCCGCCCTCACTCATGTAATAATTCAGGTATGTTCAGAACGAAACATAGATTTATTAATTTTGATCCAAATATGACGGTTGTAAATGAAATAGTATATAAACCTCGGTAGGAAGTTTCATTCCTGTCTCGAAATTATAGCTAGCCTCGACGCTTTGCGTCTCGGTTAACTAACTAATCTCACACAGGAATGAATCACTTCCTACCTCAGTGTGTAATATACTAGTACAATAGTGGATTGGTTTGATTCATTCCCAACCGTTCTTCAAATTTCAATGCAGGTAGTTCCTGTCATAAAAAGCTGAGTCCCGCAAATAAAACTCCCCACTATTTATATTTGGGTGCGTCAGCCCTACTCGCATTATTTGATAATTGGTCGTCTGATGACCAATGCGACGCGAATAGTGTAATATGTAATATCAACTTTCATAGAAGTGAAAGGATGAATTCCCAATCTGGAAGCATTTTCAAGAAAAATCCAATGAAACAAGAAAATCTGGGCATAGAGGAAAAAATTAAGACATGAAATGTAAGGTCTTGTGGAACGGATGAAAGTGGCAAAAGTGTAGTGAAACAAATACAAATATCAAAAATGACAATGAATCATTCTAAGATGGTTTACTAATATTTATAATCGAGATTTTTGCCAGATTATATCTTCACTGATATTATGTTCAATTGTTCAATGATGGTTTTCTTCCAAATGTAAAACCCATAGATTGTTGTCGCAACGAAATAAACCCATCATTCACGAAAAAATATTCAAAAATGGACAATTATGTTATGCTACTGCTTCTTCTGCATCAGTTAATATATTTCAGAAACTCAGAAACTAATTAGGAATGGAAAAAGCTTCAAAATGGGGTTCCTTCACAAGCACTACAATAAACCACTAACTAAAACTTCAAGATTCAAGATTTAATTTTCTCCTATTTATAGCTCATCAATTTTGATAATGCTTCAAATTGAAAATATGGGAATCAAATCGCAATTTGAATCATTTCAACCCTGGGAAGAGCACATTCCTGTCCATTATATGTCAAGGCTTGTTCACATGCTTGCTTTCCGCTTTTTGGCTTTCATCGCATCGCTTCTCTGATTGCGCAATATATTATTCATCATGCAAGAAAACATAAAAGAAAACTCCAAAGAGCACAGCTTCATTGAAGTAGGAGAGGCAACGACGCATCATTTATAAAATATTATAGTCGTGTCAATTTATACATACCAACAAATTTTCAGATTCATCTGTAGCTTGGTTTGCCAGAAATGTCTAATTAACGCTAATTGTGAAGAAGCTTGTATACTATTTCGCGATATGCACTAGATTCTTGCTTGAAACTGATACGAGCACTTTAAGTAGACCGTACGCGAAGACATCTAACACAGAACTGACACGATTCATCGCCTCGTCCCGAATGACTAATCAGTTTCGTCACCTTTCTATGCCATCAATTCCCGAACAATTATTTATCTATGACTAATAATAATGATTATGATGATATTTGAAGTATACGGGGAGAGGATATAAACATGGAATGATATACAGGGTATTATACCATTCACCAAATAGCTCTCATGCCGAATTTTTGAAATTTTTTGAGGAGAAACTTGAGGATTTGTTATGTAATAAAAGTATCCTGATAATTGTTGGGGACTTCAATATCAATTTAAATATAACCAATAATACCTATACATTGAAAATGAAACAACTAATTAATGAGATGGGATTATTTCAGTTAATTGACGAACCTACCAGAGTTACAAAAAATTCCTCTACCCTCATTGACTATTTAATAAGTGATGATAAAACCTTAGAATATGAAGTAAATAATTTTCCTAATGTAGCAGACCATCACCATATACTTGTGAAACTTTGTGAAAATGAATTAGATACTGAACCTAATAAAGATAACGTTTTGTACAAAAGAAACTTCAGAACTTTCGATGAGTTAGAGTTTCAATTTTCACTACTTGAGAATTCGTGGAATACAAATACAGTAGATAGCAATATTTTAGCGCTCAATCTACTCTCATGTTTAACTACCTGTCTGGATATGCATGCGCCTTTCAGAAAATATAGAACGTTCAATAACTTCAAATTGAATGTGTGGTTTTCAGATGAGGTAATGAGAGAGATTCAAAATAGAGACAGATTACATAAACAAGCAAAGGCAACTAAATCCGAATCTCTTTGGGACGAGTATAAAATAGTCAGAAATCGTGTAACCACTTTGATCAGACATGAAACTAGAAAATACTATGAAGAAAAAATTGATGAAAATAAACATGATCCCAGAGCAATGTGGAAATCACTGAAAGAATTGGTAGGTGGAAGAAGAAATCAAAGTAGAAAACGAATTATATTTGAAGGGAAAAACGTGAATTCCGACGATGAAATTTCAAACGCATTCAATTCATTTTTTATCAATAGCATAAATAATATTGTTGAAAACATCACCCCAGTGAACGATTTCGATGATACAATAAGAAAGATTCCTGAATTTGTAAATAAATTTCTTTCATTTAAAAACATCTCTATGCAGGAATTAAAAAATATTGTTTCATCGTTGAAAAAGAACTCGTGTGACAAAGATGGAATCAATCGTACTATAATCAAACTAGCTTTTGACATCATTGGGAATAGATTTCTTGATACAATAAATTCATCTTTGAAAACTGGGGTTTTTCCTGATGTATGGAAAATATCTACAGTGATTCCGATTCCAAAAGTACCTAATACACAATTTGCAGCTGAACATCGCCCAATCAATACATTACCAATAATTGAAAAATTGTTGGAGCTTGCCGTCAAAGATCAACTTCTTGAATTCATCAGTTCAAATGAAATACTTATCGAACAACAATCGGGTTTTAGGAAATGTCACTCGTGTGAAACGGCTCTTCAGTTTTTGATATCCAAATGGAAAGTTGATATTCATGATAAGAAAATCATCGGGGTGGTTTTCTTGGACTTACAGAGGGCATTTGAAACGATAAATAGAGATTTACTCTTGAAGAAATTGAACAAATATGGAATAGGCGGAAAGGTTCTCGAATGGTTTCAGAGCTATCTACAGAATAGAGAACAACTTGTTAAATACAATAACACTTACTCAAATAGGGAAAAGGTCATGCATGGAGTACCACAAGGATCGGTACTGGGACCAATATTATTTATTTTATTCATAAATGACATTATACATCACGTCCAGAATTGTAAGCTGAAACTATTTGCGGATGATACCTTGCTTTACTTCTCTGGCAAGAAAGAGGATGTGGAGAAATTCTTGAATGAAGATCTTGAGAATATATTCACCTGGATCTGTGACAATGGACTCAAAATTAATGTAACAAAGACGAAATTCATGATTATATCTTCGAAAGCAAATTCAAAAATGATCCAGGAAAATAAAATAAAATTCAATATTCTGATAAACGGAGAAATCATTGAAGAAGTGAAAATGTTCAAGTATTTGGGAGTGATCATTGATAATCAACTGAATTTTAACAGCCATTGTGAATACATTAAAAAGAAAATTGCGCGAAAAATAGGTTTCATGTACAGGCTTGGTAATAAAGTATCCCATTTCACGAAATTAACAATTTACAAGTCAATAATTTCACCTCATATTGATTATTGTGGTACTTTACTGAGTTACTTGAGTAACGAACAGATTAATACACTGCAAAAAGTCCAAAATCGTGCAATGAGAGCTATCTTGGGTTGTAAAAGACGCACACCAGTCACAACAATGCTGAACACATTGCAATTAATGAATATCAAGCAAAGAGTTGCATATAATACACTTATTTTTGTTTATAAATTGAAAAATAACATGTTGCCTTTGTATTTATCAAGTGAGCTTAATTATGTTCAAGATGTACATTGTCACAATACCAGAAGACAAGCAGCGAATGATTTCTATATAAATTCAGTAAATAATGTCTGTGATACTTTATATACAAAAGGTCTGGTATTATTCAATAATTTGCCCTGTGAAATGAAAAGATGTGTGTCACTAGATAGTTTTAAAGAATCGTGTGTGTTATTTGTGAAAGAAAATTATTGATTGATCAATTGAGAAAGGAGAAATCTGTTAATTACCCTTATATTAAAATATGTGACGTAATTCATGTGTCTGTGTGTTAGTTCCATATTTCTATGTTTTTATTTATTGACTTATTGTATTTTATTGTAGATTTAACTGTAATGAAGAGCACTGTGCTAATAAAGTTTGATATATTTGAGGCGCCACCTCAATGATTCCATGAAAAGAGTGACAAAATTAAATTTTTCACTATTCGAACTATATTTTGTGTAATATTTAGTGAATTGGACGCCCTGATTTTGGATCCGAAGTGATTTTCAACCTATCTTGCCTTCGGTATACCGGTTGACACTGACTCATGGTATACCCCCCATTTCTCCATTGTTTCTCTAGCTATATTTCTGAAATTTGAAATATTCGAATATGTTCACTAGAGGGCACTCACATTCTTGGATTTCTTTGATCTTCCGGTTATCCTGGAAATTACATCAACTTCCGATGTTTAAATAGAACACCATGCATTTTATTCCATAATCGGTAAGGGATTATTATAACGAATTCGACAATACCGGGTTATTTGGGATATTTCAAACGATTCGAAGATATTCGCGTTTGAAGTTTCCATAAGCTCAATAAGTGTGACAAAGAAAGCAGTTTCGATATTGCGCCGTCAAACCCATTGAGCATACGGAAACTTCGAACGCGAATATCTTCGTAATCGTTTTAAATAACCCAATCAAACCCGGTTTTGTGGGTTTCGTTATAATAATCCCTAACCCATTATG